TCTATCGAAAAAATTTTATTTATTAAATTTTTTAATCTTTTGTTCACAAAAGAAATTTTTAGGTCAAGCTGACCTAATTGAAGAGAAAAGTTGAAATTTTTTAACAAAAGGGAAATTTATTAATCCATTACAAGATTTTCTAGGTAATGACGACCTAAATATTTTATACAAAAGAAAAATTTTTAAGATGACCCATAATTTTTAAAGAAATCAAAAGAAAAAGGAAAATTTTTAAGGTGACCTTAAAATTTTTTAAAAATTCCTAAGAAAAAATAAAAAATACAAAAGAAAAAGGGAAAAGTTTTCAAACAAAAGGAAAATTTTAAAAAATAAAGAAATGTTCGCACACTGCGCGAACAAAAATACAAAAGGAAGATTAAAAGAAATTTTTTTAAAAATCTAAAGAAAGGAAAAGTTTTTAGGTCAAGATGACCTAAAAACTCAAAAGAAAACTACACGCACGCTGCGCGAAAAAGTAAGGAAAAGGAAAAAATAATTTTTAAAAATTTTTGGGGGAAAGTGCCTTAACATTTTGGGTTGACAGGTCACAGGATTGGCACCATATGTCTTTAAACCTTGAACCTAATTAATGAACTAATTACGAGAAAATAATGGTAATTACACTACATCTTTTTTCTATTATCAGTTATCACTGATAAGACCCTTTGGGTTGATACAGGATGTCCCTAAACCTTCAGGTTGACTTTAATTAGTTGACTAGTTACATGGAATTAATTAGGGATTAATTACATATTCTTATATTAGTTATCTTTGATAAGGCCCTTTGGGATGGTACCGGATGCTCCTAAACCTTTAGGTTGTGTCTAATTAGAGTACTAATTACATGGAATTAATTAGGGATTAATGTTGCGGACCCCTCTGTCCCTGACGACGGGGGCGTTGGGTTAACTACTGATGGATTAAAATTAAGAAGTAAAGAAACAAAAATTGGGATTTTAAGACTAAAAATAAATTAATTTTAAAATTTTTTAAAAATAAAATTAATTTTTTAAACATTAAAGAAAAATATTATTCAAGAAAATTTAAAAAAAATATTTTTATTAATTTATTTTTTTAATTTTAAAGAAATGAGAAGGCAGATGGGAAAGCTTTAAAGATGAGAAGAAAAGAGTAAATCCTTCTGGCGCCAAAATGAGGCGAATTAATGTTTGTGTGTGTATTTTATAGTCAAATTAACGAAAATGGACTATTTGTTAATTTAATATATATTTTTCGTTTTACAAATCCTAGCGGGAAATTTGTGTTAATTTTGCTAACAAATACATAAATAAAAATAAATTTATTAAATAAAGGCAAACAATTTTGAAGAAAAAGAAAATTGGAATAAAAATAAATTTAAAAATGCTTCAAATTGTTTAGAAAAATGTTTTAGATTTAAAAAAAACAAGTGTTAAAATTCTTCTGTTTTCTTTAAAACGCTTCCAAGTTTAATAAATTTTATTATTAATTTTTTGAAACTTTAGATTTATAAAAACACGCTTCCTAACATTCAGAAAATGCTTCCAAATTTTTCTAGAGCATTCTTCTATTTTCTCACAGATTTTTCGCTTTAAAAAGATCATTCATTGTCAATAAAAATAACAAAAAAAAAACAATAAAAATGCTGCAAGTGAGCCGGGTCGTTTTTAGGCTCATTTTCATTGACAGCTTATTGACCCCTTCCCAACCTCTTCCATCTATTTATTTATTTTCCTGTTGTCCGATATTTGGCTGCTCTATATTACTCATTTTCAGCACTCCCAAGGGGGGAGGAAGGGTTAAAACTCTGAAAAAAAGAGAGAAGAGCATGTGCTTATTTTTAGGAAAGAAAAATATTTGTGTAGTTGAAAAACAACAAAAATAAATAACATGTGAGAAGAAGGACCGAAAAAAATAAAAAATAATATTTTGTAAAAACAACACAAATTTTAAGAAAAGCGCAAGTCTGATTTTTGAGGTTTTAGAAATTGTAAAAATTAACGTTGAAAAACCAAAAAATAAATTTTAAATGAAAAAATCCGAAAGCCTTGTCCGCAAGATTTGTCGTTAAAATCTTGTAAAAAAAAAGATGGATATCCGAAACAAGGAAATTTTAAATAAATGTCAGTCTATTTTATTGTTTCATGAACTTAGATACCTTATACACAGTGATGCGAAGGTTCCGGTTTCAATTCCGGAAGTGGAACCGGTAAGGTCCGAAATCGGGTTGGAACTGGAATCGTGGAACCGGCAAAATTAAAAAAGCAGTTCCAGAACCGGAACCGGCCAAATTTCGGAATTTCCACATAACTGCTTGTACATACAACCTTCGAGAAAATAAAAAATTAATTTAATAAAATTTCAAAGATTTTGTATAAAATAATAAATTTTGAGAATAAAAAAAACAAATTATTTATTTTAAAAAAATCAAAAAGTAATAAACAATTCTCCAATTTCATTTGTAGTAAACATTTTTGTTTAAGGATAAAGGATGCGAACGAGTACTTCATAAAATTAAATTATCTTCATCATTGACTTGCTCTGATTTTTATTGCATAAATTTTCTTGGTTTCTTCGTGCTAATTTTAAATTTTTTCTTAAATTTTTAATTTTATAAACTGAAAAATTATTTAAACTAAATACTAATAGTTCATCATTTTTAGCAATCATTTTTTCCATTTCTCTTAATTTTAAAAGAATTTCATAACGTTGTTTCATTTCCTTTCCTAATTCAGGGATTTCTTTCTAAAAAATTATTTTAAAAAATAATTTTTAAATAACCACCAACCAATCTTTTTTTAAAAATTTTTCCCACAAAAATATAAACAATAGAGGAAGAAGTTAATAAATTAATGACATATTTACTCCAAAATATTTCAAATTCTTTTTGTTTAAACTTTAAAGGTATATTATTATCATCATTCAAAACTTTAGTAGAAGTAAATTCCAAAATTGTAGAATCTGCAGCTTCGAATATATCAACAAGCAATTCTAGAGGTAATTTTTTATTTTTATTTTTTGATTTCATTATTGAAAATAATTAAATTATAAAGTAATGCTGAAAGAATGAACGGGGTTTTTTGTGGGTATTTTATTTGCAAACTAAAAAAATTATAGTTAAATTAATAATTAAAAATGTCCTCAAAATTAAATTTAAAAATAATTAGGGTGGTCTAAAATATGCATTTGTATGTTTTGGACAACCCTAATAATAATCGCTCTAAACATAAATTATTAAAAATTATTTTTTATTTAGACAAAAAAGAGAATAAAATGACAGGAATTTTGAAAGAAAAATAAAAAAATTAAAATTATATTAATTTTTTGATTTTGCTAAAATCTGCAAGTTTTGCCTTTAACTCACAGAATTGGACAAACTTTTATAAATATATAAAAACTGGACAAACTTCTATAAAATTAAACCTCTTATATTTCTCTTCCAACAATTAAAAATGTCAAAAAATATCTCAGGTAGTAAATGTCGTTCACACCCCGCCTTCCTTTTCTTCTCTCACAAAATGCCTTACAAACTTTTCCCTTACTTTCTTTTTCAAAAATAACTAAATATTTAGTAGCTCTTAGAATCAGTTTGATTCTCCACTCCCCTTTTTCAAAATTAATCTTTTTGATATTTGCCTTGTAAAAAATAATGGAAAACGAGAACAAAATATTTAAAAATTGCATATTTGAATAAAAAAATGATTTTTATATTTTTAATTGAAAAAACAAAAATTTTGTTTTAATTTCTTTTTAACAAATTTTTATTCTTCATTCCCAATTTCTTCACAATTTTTCTTCACATTTCTTCATTCTTATCCACCAACAGTAGTCGAAGTATTTATTTCTTCTTCTCCCTCCTCTTTATTTAAATAATTATCAACTTTTTCCAAATCCTCTTTTATTTTTAAATCAACAACTAAATTGAATAAATTGTTGAGATAATTTAAAGGTATATCGTTTTGTGTTGGATCAGCCCTGCTAGGTGGAATAGAACGTCCCCAAATATTAATTGTTATTGTTGAAATTAATAATAAAATAAAAATATTTTTAATTTGCATTTCTTTTTATGTAAATCTGAAAAAAAATAATTTTTTGATAATTTCTGGATAATTAATTGACAACAAATTAGTTAAAACTTTAATTATTTAAACTAAAAATTATGCCCCTACAGCACCTCAGAACTACTTTATTTCCAATTTAAAAACAAATAATTATTGACAAATATCCCTCTAAATAATTTTCCTTAATTTTTTAACAGGATTGTTGACGTTTCCAAGTCGAGTCGAAGTTCGGGGAAATATTTCTGGGTTTCTTTTGCTGTTCGAGTGCCTATTTAATCTTATGAAAAGATTGGGGCTGTCTTTGGATAACTTAAATAATTTTTTTGAGAAAATAAATTTTTAATAATTGAATTTAAAAAATCTTCGAGGATTTATTTTTTCCCTTTCTCCTCAACTTTTTTATATTCATCTCTTCATTTTATTTTTTGCAAATTTCAAAAAAATTTTAATTCCAAAATTATTTTTTCTATTTTTGTTTCTCTAATAAAAGTTTTTTGCAAATTAAAAATTGTGACGACAAAAAGCAAAATTAAATTAGCTATTAAATTACCCAAAATTACCAAAATATTTATTTAACTGGCAATAATTAATTCCAAAAAATTTTTTTATTCTTAAAAAGGAAAAAAGGAATATTTATTTTATGCAAATACTAAAATTTTAAAAAGTTTTTTGCTAAAATTAAAAAAAAATTTTTGTTAAGCTCCTTTCGCTTCCACATTTAGGTAATTTTATTTTATTATTCTTCGACCAAAAATTAGACCAATTTATAAAGAAAAACTCGAGATATGACCTAAAATATGGGTGCCTTTATAATAATGTTACACACTGTATGTACATTAATGATTGAAAAATAGAATGGCCGGCCATTCTAGTAGAGATAATACGGCATGTAAATTTTGAATAAAACATCAATTTATTTTTAAAAATTATTTAAAGTCAAAAAAACAATCCCCTCTATTTTTAATCTGTTAAGGATAAATCATAATGTGAACGAGTACGCCTCAAAATTGTACCACCATTCTCACCTACTAGTATCTGGCAACTACCCCATCTCTTTCTTTTCCCCGCTAATCTCGTTTGTTCCTCCTTAAATTTTTAATTTTATTAAAAAATAATTAAATTAAATTAAAAATACATTCAATCTTCGACGTGCTTCGATTTCGACAATTCTTTCATATATTTCTAAAGTTTCAGCAACAACAAATAGTCTTTCCCTTTCCTCCACTAATTTTTCCCTTTCTTCCATAAATTTTTCTCTTTCGTCCGCGTTAGAAAAAAAAATTAAATAACCCTCAAGTTTTTTTATTTCCTTTCCTAGTTCGAGAATTTGTGTCTAAAAGAGATAATCTTTTTTTATTTTAAAAATCATTAATTAATAACCAACCCATCTTTTTTTAAAACTTTCTCCAACAAATATATAAATTATAGAGGAAGAAGTTAATAAAGTAATGACTTGATTAGTCCACATTCTTTCAAATTCTTTTTGTTTTAAACTTGAAACTCCAAAATCTTCAAGAACTTTAGGTAACAAATTCTCCATTATAGCCCCATCGGCAGCTTTAAATATATCAGCGAGTAATTCATTAGGTAATTTTTTATTTTGATGTTTTGATGATTGCATTATTACAATTTATTTGAAATCAAAGCAAAACTGAAAAGATATTACATACAAATTCCTTTTTTTATTTAAATTCAGTTATTGACAGCTCAATTAATTAATCATTCATTTCCCATTAAATTTTTTTAATTTGCCAAAAAGGGGCTAATAATATTAAATCAAAAATAAAAAGTTTTCTAAAATGCTTAAAAATAGAGTTATTGCCGGTCGAAAAAACGGGGGTCGAAAACTGACTATAATCGAAAACGGTACCGGATCAAGTCAACATCCCTACTTAAAAATAACAGAAATATTCAAAACAAAATTTTATTTTTTATTTAACAATAAATAAAGAATATATTAAAAGGCAAAACCAATGGTAAAAATTTGTAAATGAAACGTTTTTCGTCGTTCGTATAGATCTTTAACCTTTGCCTAGACGTTTAAATGATGCTATTTAGGTGAATCATCCTTACATTAAAAAATAACTTTTTTTGCATATTTCTTTTGTTTTAGCAATCAAAATATTTTTTAAATAACAATTTTAAAAATGTTCGAAAAGTAACTGTTTATAAAGCAACTATAAAGTAAAATTTTTGGTATGACATAAAATGAAAAATCTGAGAAAATAATTCTCATAATAATTTTTGAGTTATTCAAGAATAAATATAAATATATATACAAATTACCCCCGTTCCTTCTTTAATAAATAATTTCTTTGTTTAATGAAGATGAAAAATAAGAACGAGGACATTTTTTAATCGGGCAATTCTTCTCTTTATTCCAATCGGATATTCGTCTCTTCAAAATTTTAAATCTTTTTTCCTTCAATTCCAAAGTTTCTTCAATAATTTCTTTCTAAAATTTGTATTAAATAAATTTAGAAAAAATGCTAAACAGTTTTTCTTTCCCCTCCATTTTTTCCTTTTAATTGTAAAATAAATTCTTTTATTTTTAAAGTTTCAGCTTCAATTAATTCTGTTTCCTCGTTATAAAACTTTAAATTAAAGTTTAAAATATAAAATATAAGATTTAAAAACTTTTATGTTTTCACTCACACTTCTTTCTTCAAGAATAAATAACTAAAAATATTTTTAAAAATTTCAAAAATTAATTAACCCATCTTTCTTTCAAAAATTTTATAACAAATGTAGAGACAATAGAGGAAGAAATTAATAGAATATTAACTTGATTAATCCACACTTTCTCAAATTCTTTTTGTTTAGACATTGAAGATATTTCCTCAAATTTGGGTAATAAATTCTCCATTAATGCCCCATCTATAGATTTAAATATATCAACAAGCATTTCTGGGGGTAATTTTTTATTTTGTTTTTTTGATTGCATTATTTAAAAAGGAAATCTTTTTGGGATATGACAAAATTTGACAAAACAGTTGAAAGTTTCCAAATTTAAATATTCCCAAATTCATTATATCAATTCAAGTCATTTGAGAAAGAATCAGCACAAAAATTATTCACTAAAAAATTTGAACTATTTGGGTGACAATTTTGCTTCTCTCATTTCCTCATATAAATATTTAACCTTCCTAGGCATTTCAAATGCTGCTAAATGAATAATCCTACAAAAAATTTTTCTTTCAAAAATATTAGCAATAGATGACGTTAACAAATTCTTTCGATAATTATTCCATAAATTTCACATTTTTTTGACCTTGGGAATTTATTGTTAAGTTTAAAATAACAATTCGACTATTACAACATCTAACAATAAGTATAGTTTAATACAAAAATGTAATTCTTTATTTCTGACTTGAAGTTATTTAGAGGTGGAAGTCTGTAATTGACTATCTAAACTTTAACAAAATATTATAAAAATTAATATTATTCCAAAAACACTTCAAAACAAAATTTATTTATTTTTATTTAAACAACGAATAAAGATGATGTATTAAAACAGCTGAAACCAAAATAAAAAATAGCAGAAAATTCGCTTTTCGTCGCCTTAAATTTTGTTCTAGTTTTTCCTTCAGTATTTCAACTTTTTTTATTATTTTCTCTTCAATTTCTTCATTTCGTCTTCTATATTCTTCTAATCTAGCAATTCGTTCGTCTATTTCAGCCATACGAAATTCAATCTTAATAAAATATCAAAAGAATAATCATTTAAATCTCAACACATATTTAAACCTTTTGCCTTTTTTCGAGGATTGTTGCCTAAAAATAATAAAAAATCTTCTTTTTCTTTAAAAATACCCACCCATCTTTTTTTAAAAATTTTTCAACAAAAATATAAACAATAGAAGAAGAAGTTAATAAAATATTAATTTGATTAATCCACAATTTCTCAAATTCTTTTTGTTTAGACATTGAAGATATTTCCTCAAATTTGGGTAATAAATTCTCCATTATAGCCCCATCTGCAGCTTTAAATATATCAACAAGCATTTCTGGGGGTAATTTTTTATTTTGATGTTTTGATTGCATTACTAATTAGTGCTTAAGCACAGCTAAAGAATTTTGCAGATAATTTTTACAGATTTTTAGAAATTAATTAGGGTATATATTTGATAGAAAATTATCCGAAAAACTTGCTTCGAGGGTTCAAACTCCGATCCTCAGCTCTTAGAGCTCTTTTGAATAATATAAATATATTCTGCGCCTCAAAGCAAGTTTTTCCTCTTCGAATATTTAAAGATAAATCCACAAAAATTACCCAAAAAAGCTTTTAATAATATTTAACTACCAGCTATCGGGGCAACAACTTTTTTATACAAATCTTTAACTTTCGTTTAAACATTTTAAATGCTTGCTACTAGATGAATCATCCTTACATTGTATAAAATAACTAATTGATCTTTTTTGACTTTTCCCAACATTTGTAAATAAATAGATAAAATCTAAAGCTATAACTTTTAAGTCTTTTTGAAAATATTGTGTATCAAATTTTCGATTTAATTTAAAAAATAATTTATTTATTATACCTATTTTATATAAAAAATTATTGAAAAAACTTTTTAGTTATTTAAACATTCAAAAAAATGTTTAAAATTTACTCCACCATTATTAATCTTTTTAACTTTTTTAATCTTTATGAGAGGAGAAAAAGAAGGCTAAAGTGCGAATATTAAAAATTTGGTTATATTGTGTAAAGTGTTGAGAGTATTAATTTCAATTTTAAAAAATTCGCAAAACCTCAGGGCCATTAATAAAATAAAATTTAAAATAAAATACCTAGTAAATTCTAAAATGCTTAAACAAGTAAAATATCCAAATCAAAAACTCCGTTATTTTTTAATCATATATAGGGTTGCACCCCGAATCCTGAGGGCACGTTTTTCGGGGAGCGTTGGAGGATGACTAATCATATATTTATATGTAAGTAAAGATGTAAAATAATAAATTAAAACCCAAAAACTATCCGAGACTATCTCTCTACATTTTCCACTCTTCTCCTTCTTAAATAAATATTTGCTAACTTGTACTATAACTTGTATTGTCAGTTAAAATAAATTATTTAAATAACCCCAAAATTCCTCAATTTTAGCGCTACAGACTAAATTTAATTTTTTGGGAGCCGAACAAAATGTTCGGAATAAGTATACACTTCGATAATTTTTAAAGGAAAATGGGAATGAAAGGAAAATGCGGGGAAACAATCGGATAATTAAACTATATTGTTAAAATTATTTTCTCGAAAAGTCAAAAAAAAAACATTCACTCGTCTTTCTTTGATTTTTTAATTTCTTTATTATTTTGTGGAGCGCTTTGCACATGGACAATACTCATCATCTATATCCCCCTCCGATTTTCGTCTCTTCAAAATTTTTGTCTTGTTTCCTCCATATTCTTCCTCAATTTCTTCCTTAAATTTTTTATTTTATAAATTTAAATTTAAAATCAAATACATCTAATCTTCTACGTTCTTCTCGTCTGTTAATTTCTTCTAATATATTTAACAATTCAGTCCTAATTAATTTATTTTTCTCCATCAAATTCTTTAAATAAAAAATATCAAAAATATATTTGACAAAATTTAAACCTCAAATAGTTCAACTTTTTCCCTGTTTTCACAGATTAATAACTAAAAATATTAATATTTTTTATAAAAACATAGAATACCCACCCATCTTTTTTTTAAATTTTTTCTTAAAAATATATAAACAATAGAGGAAGAAGTTAATAATTTATTGACTTGATTAATCCACAATTTCTCAAATTCTTTTTGTTTGGACATTGAAGATATTTTGTTAGGTAAGGATTCCATAATTGCCCCATCTGTAGCTTTAAATATATCAACAAGCAATTCAGAAGGTAATTTTTTATTTTGATGTTTTGATTTCATTTATATAAAATTTATTTAAGCTAAAAAACTTTGCGGACTTAAAATTCTTTTATATATTTAACAGAAGAATCTACTAAAACATTTAATCTAACAATAAACAAGTCCTTCAAACCCTCATTAATAAAATTTAAAATAAAAAAGCGTCTTAAAACACATACTATGATATTAAAAATATTTAAAGCAGAAATTTTTTTATTTAAAAAAAAATAAATTTGGTAACGATTTATTTATTTTTTAAATTATATTTAAAATTTAAGGAAAATTAATTTTTGAGATCTTAAAAGACAATACACCCGTTTTTTAATAAAAGTTTTTTTATTCTTCAAGACTTCGATTTCTTCGTTTTTCTTGAAGTTTAGCAAGTTGTTCTTTTAATTTTAAAATTTCTGCATCTTGTAACTTGAAAATTATCAAGTATTAAAAAATTTAAAATTTAAACCTCAATTCTTTCAACCTTCTTTCTAAGTTCAAGAATTAACCCCTAAAAATATCCAAATCTTTTTATTTACAGGGTGACCCAGAAGAAACCGGACACAGGATTCATGCCATAACTTTATTCAAATTAAAGATAATGAGATCAAATAATTATGAAATTATAGAGAGCTAAATGGAGAATAAAATAAAACAAAAATCTTTTAGAATTTTCCCTATTCTAATTTGAGATAAGGTTAAAGGAAAGTTTGAAAAATTTTTTGGCATCTAGAGCAGTCTTTTATCTATAGACCTAAAATTACATAACTTTCTTAATCCTTAATCAAAAAATCTTTAATTTTACTATATGATAGAGAAATAAATAAGCTACAAAATAAACTTGGAATTATTTAAAAATGATATGAACAAAAAAAGTTCCAAAGGATAGAAAAGTGTCCGGTTTCTTTTGGATCACCCTGTAAATTAATAACCAACCCATTCCTTTTGAAAAACTTTTTCAACAAAAATATAAACAATAGAGGAACAAGTTAATAAAGGATTAACATTAGAAATCCACAACTTTTCAAATTCTTTTTGTTTTGACATTGAAGATATTTCGCCAAATTTGCGTAATAAATTCTCCAAAATTCCCCCCTCTGTAGATTTACATATATCAACAAGCAATTCTGGGGGTAATTTTTTATTTTTTTGCTTTGATTGCATTTTAATATATATTTAGAATATCACAGAAACTGCTAAAGAATACTTTTTAAAAAAAATTAAAGATTCTGTTAAATTCAGTCCAGGTTTTCGAATATTAACTAAATTTAAAACAAAAAGGTGACCGTCCAAAATCAGTAGAGTAACTGTTCTTTTATTGAAATATCCCCTTTATGTCCGCGTGCCAACAAAAATCCATTTAACAAAATTTAAAAATAAAAAAAGTGATGAAACACTTGATTATTAATTAATTTTCAAAACAAAATTTATTTTTTTATTTAAAATTCTGTTTACAAAATTATTTAAATATCTAGTAAAATTTTTTGAGCTTTTTTTAAAAAAAAATATTAACCGTTCTTTCTTGTTTAATTTAACAACCCTTCAATATTCTCATTTTTTATTTAAAAAATAAATATAAAACTATTAGAGCTTCCACCCCATTCAAACAAAATTGAAAAAATTTTGCCTTTCGTCGCAACAAAATTTTAGCTTGCAATATTCTGAGTCTTTCGCGTCTATCAATTTCGTCTCTCAACTGTAAAAGTTTAGTCTCAAGTAAGCCAGCTTTCTCCATAAAAGTCTTAAAAATATAGAAAATATATACAAACTTTTCAAAATTTAAACCTCATATAGCCGAACACTTTCTCTTTCTTTAAGAATTGATAACTAGAAATTTTTGGAAAAAAATATTTTTTTTTCTTTAAAAAAATAACCAACCCATCTTTTTAAAAAACTTTTTCCAACAAATGTAGGAATTATAGAGGAACAAGTCAAGTAAACCAGCACTTGATTACTCCACATTTTCTCAAATTTTTTGTGTTCTACCATTGAAGGTCCATTACTTCTGTCAAATTTTGATAAGATTTCTTCAAGTATTACACGTTCTGAAGCTTTAAATATATCAACAAGTAATTCATTAGGCAATTTTTTGTGTTGATGTTTTGATGGCATTATTAAAAGTTTAGGCCCTTCTAAAAAACTTTGCGGATTTTTTTAAAAATTCGATAAATAAAAATTATTATCAGTAGAAGTTGTTAAGTATTAATTTTAATTTAAAAGCCTACAAAAAATGTATACTAAAAACTTGAATAAAATTTATAAAATAAAATTAAAAGTGTTCTAAAAACACTTAAATATTTTGAAATATTCAAAATAAAAAATTAATTATTTATTAATTTAAGAAAATTATAAAGAATAATTCTGTTTTAAAATAATTTTTAAAATTATTTAAATGTCTAAATAAAATTTTTGAGCTTCTTAAAAAATCAAAATATGTATTAACCCGTTTACTTATTTAAATACAAAAACCTCCAAATAATTCTCATTTCTTAATTTCTTTGTCTTCTGATGAAACAAAATGAGACCGAGTACGTTTTGCAATTGGACTACTCTCCTCCATTTCCTTTTCAGCCTTTCGTCGCTTAATAATTTTTGCTTGATTTTTCTCGAGTCTTTTTGTGTGTTTTTCCTTAAATTTTTTAAAAAAATTATTTAAATTAATTAATTTTACATTTAATTTTTTCCTTTTTTCCTCAAAAAGTTTAGCAATTTGTTTTCTTAATTCAAAAGTTTCATCCTCAAGTAAGTCCACCCTTTCTTCAAGTAATTGCTCTTCTTCTTTCAAACGCTTAAATTAAAATTTATTTAAAAAAATATTTTTTTTCTTTAAAACTAACCTTTATCTTTTCAACAAATTCTCTTTCCTCGAGGATTAATGACTAAAAATAAATATTTTTTAAAAATCTTTTTAATTTAAATTTACCCATATTTTTTGACAATTTTCCCCAATAAATAAATAAATAATAGACGAAGAAGTCAACAAAATATTAACTCGATTAACCCACAATTTTTCACATTCTTTTTGTTCTACCGTTGATTTTTGTTTTTTGAAAACTTTAGACAATTCAATTATTTCCCCATCAATACCTTCGAATATGTCAACAAGCAATTCAAGGGGTAATTTTTTGTTTTGTTGTTTTGATTGCATTAATAACGTCTAAATTACAAGGAACTACTGAAAATGTGGATAACGTTTTGCTGTCTTTCTGAAATCAAATTCGGTCATATAAACGACGGCAAAGGAAAAAAAGTTTAATAAAATCGTTAAAAAAATCTAAAATAAAATCAAAGCGTTTTAAAACGCTTAAAAATATTCAAAACAAAAAATTATTTATTTTTAAATTAATAAATTAAAAAAATAATACTTATCCCTGATTGTCTCCAAACATTTTCCTTTCTCCCTTACTTTTTAAATTTTTGTCTAATAACAATAAAATTAATAAATTTTCTGCTTCAAGAAATTATTTGGATATTTAAAACCAAAACAATTAAGAGGATGACAAAGAAGCAAAACCCAACACTTTTAGCGACACAGGCAAAAATCTTTGCATTTTCACAGGAATCGAAATCTTCAAATTTTAAATTAATCCTCTAAAATGAAAAGGAAAATGCGATGAGTCAATAAAATATTTAAATGTCTCGAAAATAAAGTCAAAAACAATTAAAATTCACACGTTTTCTTATTTAAATAACAACCTCCAATAATTCATTTCTTACTTTCTTTGTCATTTGATGAAACATAATGGGAACGAGTACGTTTTGCAATTGGTCCATTCTCATCAATTTCCATCTCATTGCCAGCTTTTCTATGCTTTTTAATTTTCACTCTAATTGTCTCAATTCTTTTCCTTTGTTTTTCCTTTAAATTTTTAATTTTCAAATAAAAATTATTAAAAATTAATTACAATTAATCGCCGTCTTAGTTCAATGAGCTTAGCAAATTTTTCTTCAAGAAATTCTTTTTCTTCTCTCAAATGCTTAAATTAATTCCTTTTAAAAAATCTTTTAAAAACAACCTTAACCATCTCAATACGCTCTTTTTCCAACCGGATTAACGCCTAAAAAATATATTTTTTAAATCTTTTTCATTTAAATTTACCCATATTTTTTGACAATTTTCCCCAATAAATGTATAAACAATAGATGAAGAAGTTAACAAAACTTTAACATGACGAAATAACATTTCACATTCCTCACAAACTTTAGATGATTTCAATATTGCCCCTTCTGTAGATTTAAATATATCAACCAGCAATTCAAGAGGTAATCTCTTATTTTTTGATTGCATTATTAAAATATAAGGAAATGCTGAAAATGTGAACGGCTTTTTGTGGTCTTTTTTAAATCAGGCTCGGTCATAAAATAAGCGAGTCCACAAAAAGCCATCAACAAAATAAGCTTAAAATAAAATCAAAGCACCCTTTAACACCTATATAAATATTCAAAAAGAATTCAACCTCAAAATTATAAAAAATAATTCAAAGAAAATTTTTATTTAAATAAAAATTATTTAAACACAAATATAATATTTAAACAGACTGAACAATTTTCCGAAAAAATACCAAAAAAAAAACTTTTAAATCTTCACTTTTTACTTAAAATTTAAACTTCACAATTTTCTTTTCATCCTTACTTGCCTTCTTCATGTGATGAAGCTGATGGAGAACGTGAACGGCTTCGTTTCGGTGCTGGACTTCCTTCTTCAGCGCCATTCTTTGCTGAAAAAATAAAAATAAATTGAGAAAAAAATTAAGAGAAAACCTGGAGTTGAGTTGCTGCGAGAACGTGAACGACGTTCAGATCGCGAGCCTGAACGGTGTGGTGAAGGAGAACGACGTGCTGAAGCTGAACGGCGTGCCGAACCAGAACGGCTACGAGAACGTGAACGGCTGGGGGAGCGACGACGTTTGCCTCCACTGTCTTCAGAATCGTCAATTAATTTAATTCGACGGCCGTTAATTTCTTTTCCTAAATAAACAATTATTTTGAAAATTTTTAAACTCAAAAAAACCTTGAAATTTCTCCATTGCACGACGCAAATCGTCATGAGTAGCGAAACAAACATTTGCCTGGTTACGAACACGTTTGTGGGCTTCAGCATATGTAACTAAAAAACAAAATTTTAAATAAATTCAAAAAGTTAAAAAATATTTAAAAATACCGGAAAGTTCTCCTAATAACAAAATTCAATTTGAAGAATTTAGAATAGACTTAATGCCGCCCGGTCTCTAATTTAGAAACCTAAAAAGAAGTTTCCGGAAATTTTTAAATATTAATTTTAAAGAAAGAACAAAAAAAGCACCGCCTCCTTCACCTTCGCCAGCCCCGCGGAACATGTCTTTCAAGTCCTAAAATTAAAAAATAAATTTTTTGAATTAATCAAATTTATTTAAAAGGAGAAAAAATTCCTTTTTTTAACGAACCGAAAAAATTTTTACTTCAATTAAAAATTAATTTTCCTTTCATTTTTAAGTCCAGCAACAATTGTGTGTTTGCCTTTCCAACCAAAAAATGCTCAAATCACACAAATTTTTGAGAAAAATGAGAGAAAGAGAATGAGGAGAGAAGACTAAGCGGGCCAAAGTTGCAAAAAAAAATCCAAAAAGTCAAGATTTTGCCAAATGCCAAAATTGTGCAACTTTTTCATTTTAATGCCAAAAATTTGTGTCCAAATGGCCATCAATTAGAAAAATTGTTTACAAAAGGCCGACCAAAAAATTCGGTCCAAAGAAAGTTTGTGTGGGGGCAAGAGAAAGTCCTTTTGGCAAGAGAAAAGTCCTTTTTCGCCATTTTTATGTGTGGGCCAAATCGCCATTAGAATTTAGGCATAAATTCAAGGTTTGCCGTATTTATTATTCCACCTACTTAAAAATTTATTTAATTTAAAAAATAAGATTCTGAGAACATAAAAATGTTTCGTTCTAACGCCAAAAACGAAACAAAAAATTTGGAAAAATTTTGAAAAAAATTTTTTTCAAACCTGCCAAGAAAAACGAGTAGACAAATTTTGTACCAACATTTTGTGACGAGTCTCACGTGGTGGAGGAAAACGTCCATTAGTACGACCTTCACGCCGAAAGTTTTGGCCACTATTTTTAGAGAACAATTATTGAGATTTAAAAAGAGTAAAACCTTCTATATCCGCCACCTCGATTATCATAACCTCTGTTGTCATATCGATTGTTCTCATTACGGCCAGATGTGCCTAAAAATGATTGAAAGTAAAAAATATATACAAAATGGCTAAATAGGAAAATTTGAATAAATGTCACAGGAGACACCAGTCAGGAGACACCCCACCAGACAAAAATTCCAAAAAAACTTACGACGAGAAATCTCCACAACAACTCGGTGCCCACAAAGTTCACGGCCATTTTGCTCATAGACAGCATCGTCAGCATCGCGTGAGTCATCGAACTCCTCAAAAATTAAAAATATTAAAATAAAAATAAACAAAAACAAACCACAAATCCAAATCCATTTTTTAACATAACATCACGTATTTTGCCAAATCCTTTGAAGAAATGCTCCAAGTCGCGTTCAGTGGCACGAGACGGAAGATTTCCAATATAAACTCGAGACATAGGCATTATTCTTGTATTTCTAAAAGTTTTGAAAGCTAAAATAAATATAAAAATTGATGTAAATATAACAAACAAGGGTATTTTAAGAGAATAGTTAAGTTCGTTCCCAGTACTCTTCCGATTTCAATTATTCTTTGAGGTTAATGGTTACCTTTGGGGATCTATAAAATCGGTCTTTGGTTATCCTTTAGCTGTATGCTTCTCTGTGGGCTCTCGAATCTTACAGGTGCAACAGATAAAAGGTACCAATAAGTCTAGATGGTCACAAATCCAGTTCCCGTATGTCTCACATCTAAATTATGCTATTGAATCAAAAAGTAACTAGTAGACCCCAATAATGAATGGAGAGAAATGCGAGAAACGGATTTAACTATTCGTTATTTTAGTTAATATAAACTCGTTTTGGTAATATTCAATTTCGTTCCCCCCCCCCCCCCCCTCCTTTTTTAGATCCTCAAAGTATTAAAAAATGGTCAGTCTAACTTAAGTTATAGAACTCGTCGAGCTGAGTCGAATGACACCAAAATAAAAAAAATCCGACTTGATTTGACCGAAATACAGACCCCTGAAAATTGAACAACCATGGGGGTGATTTTTCTAAATAAAAATTTTTTATGCAAATGATAGCTCATTCGAAAGAGCTCGTCGAGCTGTGTCGAATGAAACTAAAAACGACGTGATTGGACATGGTTTGACAAAGTTATGACATAAGTGTAGACCTAACGGAGTCGACGACTTATGTCATAACTTTGTCAAATCTTGTCCAATCGCGTTGATTTTGGTGTCATTCGACTCAGCTCGACGAGTTCTATAACTTAAGTTAGACTGACCATTTTTTAATACTTTGAGGATCTAAAAAAGGAGGGGGGGGGGGAACGAAATTGAATATTACCAAAACGAGTTTATATTAACTAAAATAACGAATAGTTAAATCCGTTTCTCGCATTTCTCTCCATTCATTATTGGGGTCTACTAGTTACTTTTTGATTCAATAGCATAATTTAGATGTGAGACATACGGGAACTGGATTTGTGACCATCTAGACTTATTGGTACCTTTTATCTGTTGCACCTGTAAGATTCGAGAGCCCACAGAGAAGCATACAGCTAAAGGATAACCAAAGACCGATTTTATAGATCCCCAAAGGTAACCATTAACCTCAAAGAATAATTGAAATCGGAAGAGTACTGGGAACGAACTTAACTATTCTCTTAAAATACCCTTGTTTGTTATATTTACATCAATTTTTATATTTATTTTAGCTTTCAAAACTTTTAGAAATACAAGAATAATGCCTATGTCTCGAGTTTATATTGGAAATCTTCCGTCTCGTGCCACTGAACGCGACTTGGAGCATTTCTTCAAAGGATTTGGCAAAATACGTGATGTTATGTTAAAAAATGGATTTGGATTTGTGGTTTGTTTTTGTTTATTTTTATTTTAATATTTTTAATTTTTGAGGAGTTCGATGACTCACGCGATGCTGACGATGCTGTCTATGAGCAAAATGGCCGTGAACTTTGTGGGCACCGAGTTGTTGTGGAGATTTCTCGTCGTAAGTTTTTTTGGAATTTTTGTCTGGTGGGGTGTCTCCTGACTGGTGTCTCCTGTGACATTTATTCAAATTTTCCTATTTAGCCATTTTGTATATATTTTTTACTTTCAATCATTTTTAGGCACATCTGGCCGTAATGAGAACAATCGATATGACAACAGAGGTTATGATAATCGAGGTGGCGGATATAGAAGGTTTTACTCTTTTTAAATCTCAATAATTGTTCTCTAAAAATAGTGGCCAAAACTTTCGGCGTGAAGGTCGTACTAATGGACGTTTTCCTCCACCACGTGAGACTCGTCACAAAATGTTGGTACAAAATTTGTCTACTCGTTTTTCTTGGCAGGTTTGAAAAAAATTTTTTTCAAAATTTTTCCAAATTTTTTGTTTCGTTTTTGGCGTTAGAACGAAACATTTTTATGTTCTCAGAATCTTATTTTTTAAATTAAATAAATTTTTAAGTAGGTGGAATAATAAATACGGCAAACCTTGAATTTATGCCTAAATTCTAATGGCGATTTGGCCCACACATAAAAATGGCGAAAAAGGACTTTTCTCTTGCCAAAAGGACTTTCTCTTGCCCCCACACAAGATAGGTGAAGCATAAATCAACACTACAACTCACTGCACTTCGTGACGACAACGCTGTGCTCAGTTCAACTAAAGGCTGCTTTTGGTTCGTCGCTGTGCTGCTCACTCTTGCTTTGGTGTCTCAGTACAATGGCCGAGAAACGAGGATGTATCATACAAGGGTTGTCTCCTAAACTAACTTTTTTTTCTCTTTCAGCTAAGAAGTACATTCATGAGCATGAGGATACCATCGAGATCCAAGACTCGGACATGGGACTGACGTTCTTCAGTGGGAGCTCGCCGCCGCGGATACAGAAGATCGACATCTTCTCCTACTTCTTTGGATGGTTGTTCCCTGGAGACTGGATCTTGCAGATTGACAAACGGGTAAGCTTCTGCGATTATTAGGGTAATACTCGGTTTAAACGTCCATTTTTCAGGCCATAAACTCGGCAGAAGACTTCACGGCAGCAACCCAGTATTCTGGCGCTGAACCCAAACCTTTGTTCATCCGTTTCCGCAGGGACGACTACTTCAGAATGATCAACCTCAAGGTCACACAAATCAGGCGAAACCCGAGCCACAATTTCATCCAGCTGCAGATCAGATGGCGAGAAGATCTTCCAATTGGGATAATTGTGGAGAAGAAGGTAATTGATTGAGTAATGAGGGCTTGTCATTAATAATAGCTTTCAATTCCAGGGATCTAATATCATCGTCTCGTACATTGAGCCAGGCAGTGTAGCTGCGCAGTACATCCTTCCAGGCGACATATTGCGGGATGTTAACGGCAAGGAAGTGAAAGACGACGTCTCTGGAGCTAAAAAGGTGTTATTTTTACAAGTAATTTTGTAAACAATTTTCAATCCTTTAATTTACAGGCTATCCGACAGAGTATCACTGAAAAGAAAAATGTGGTACTCAAGCTCGAACGGGATGCCCCTCCACTGAAGCTGATCTCGACCGCAGCCGAGGACGTGTGTGAAATACTTACGCGCGCTAAAGGCTTCTGGAATAAGCGGTGTAAGCTTATTCCAATTGAGGAGGAAGAACCACGGAAGCCGAAGAGAGGTACTCGAATAAGTGAAAAGGAGTCTTTGTGTAATTCTTTAATTTTCAGTATATCATGTGCCTGACGTTGAGTCCGAGCCATTTCCGGTTGATGATACGGGAAAGAAACTGGTTGCAACACCGAGTCGGGATGGTGGGACGCGCACTGAAGAACCGGTGGAGACGGCCGAGGAGGAACCTGCCACAGAGGGGGAAGAATTCTAAGGAGATAAAAATGAACTGAATATAATATCTAAACTCATATTTTCCTTTGTTGTTATCTTGCATTCATTTATATGTTGTATATTTCCTAAATTTCCTTGTGTGTAATATGTCTCATAATATATTCTATTAGATTTGTTGTAAATTTGTTTTGTATGTAAATTTGATTTTCGAATAAATTTTTTGTTCCTCGTTGGGGAAACTTTTTGTGACAATGCAAGGGAAAAAGATAAACGGGCACAACTTTGTTCACTTAAGACAGTTTTCGTTGATTTTAATGTCAATTGACGAAGGAAAATTAGGAAAAATAGAAAGGAAAAAAGTGGGGCAACTTCCAAACTTACCCCCTATATGGACTCGAACCTAACTTCGCCAAACGATCAAAAAAAATAAAAAAAATCACTTATTTGTAGGAAAGAAATATCTACCCATATGTATTTTCACCTTTTCTATTTTGAGAAAAATATATCGATAACAGGTATTTTGGTAATAAAAATATCCGAAAATTCCCAAAAGATTTCATCTTTGGGGGTGTATGTTTTGACCCTGACTCCGATTCGGGGGTTTGCCTTCGAAGTTTGGGTCTTGTGTTTTGCCAAAAAAAATCGTCGGGGTTTCGGAGGTCGGGTTGTTACCCTAATTTTAATTAAAGTCCAAATGCATTCAAAAGTTTCAAAAGACATATAAAATTATTAATCTTCATTTACATCAAATAAAGGCGATTTAAATTTAGTCAAAATTTCCCAATTAATTTCTTTAAAAAATTCATTTTCTTTAATTTCCAGTCCATTCATTCTTTTATTTTTATTTAAAATTAATATTTGTTCAATTAAATATTTTGCTTCTTTTGAAGGGAAATTTGAAGGAAATTTATAATTTAATTTTAATATTTGTTGAAATAAAAGAAATTCTGTTTCTCCATTAAATGGGCGTTGACCAGATAATAATTCGAATAAAATTATTCCAAAAGACCTTTTTTTAGAATTAAATTTAAAGAGAAAAAGGAACTTTCTTTACCACCAATCACAAGCTGGAGTTGACAGCTCTCCATTAAGCATCTGTTAAAAATGTTAAAAATAAAAGGATAGGTGATTTCATAAAAACTCGTAAAAGTTGAAAATAAACCTCAGGACTGACGTATTGAGCAGTTCCAACAAAAGAACAACGCCTTTTCTCTTTACTTCGCCTCCTTTCTTCGGGCGATTGTTGTGATTCTTCTACATCTTTATTTGTATTAATATTGTTATTTTCGTTTAAATTGGCAGATTCATCAATTAATTTAGCACAACCAAAATCAGAGAGGAGAATATGGCCATTTTTACGAAGCAAAATATTTTCTAAAAAATTAGAAATAATTTGGGAATTATGAATATTTAAATGTAGTAGGGGAAAAGGGTTACAAAGAGCTATTGTCTAATCCTATGTCAATATTGAATTATAAGAATGCATCGGCTTTTTTCTTTATACTCCTAGAAATCTGCAAATCTGATCCGCGTCATGCCATTTTATTTTAAAAGGATTATTTTAAAAAAATTATGTCTGATTGTTGGAAAGCTTGTAATTTCTAAAAAATTTAAAAGTAGAAAGAGAACCATGACATCAGCCTAGCCTATAAATAATTCCACATATAAATTTTTAAAACAAAAATCATAATTAAAATGTCATCCCCCATCCCTTACTAATTTTTTCCTTTCAATAAAATCTGAAGAAATTCCCTTACCAGGTTTAACATCTCTGTGTACAACATTTAACTCATGAATGTGTAACAAAGCTAAACAAAGTTCAGCCATCACAAAACGAGTCTTTTCCAAGTCTAAACACCCACCAGACGCTTTTAACCTTGCCAACAAATCTTTTTTCTCCGCCAAAGTTAACACAAAATAGAGACAATCAGAATCTTGAAAAGTGCAGTAAAGGCGGGTAATGAAGGGATGTGAATGTTCGGGGGTTGAAAGAAGGCGAAGAATGTCACGTTCTCGAAATATTTGGTGAACCTTAAAAGTTTTATTGAAATTTTTTAACTGAAAATTTAAGCAAAATTCAATTTCTTTCCCCTCTTTTATTCCTTCCTAAAGTTTTAAAAATGGCTAGATGTTGTTGTTTCCTTTCATAACTTCACTCTATTTCCCTATGGCATACAATGAGTTTGCCGAAAATTTAAATATCTGGGATATTTTGTAGTTCATTTAAAATTTGTCGAACGACTTTGCTGTCACTTTCAGCCCTAGCCATAGGTTGAGTATCAGTACTTTCTGGAAGGCCAGTTAGTACTAATAAATGTTCACGTTGTCGCTGCTCAAAAGCAGAAGAAAAATCAATATTATTTGTTGTTTGATCAGTCAAAATTTCCGAAGCGACTTGCAACAAACCAGATAGTTGTTTAATTATCTGTTGTTGTTGACTAATAATTGTTTTAGCAAAATCGGGAATTAATGGGTCAGATGGGGGAGTAAGTAATTCATTGAAATTTAAATTCGAAATTGTGTCGAGTAATTGTTGGCGCTTGGCCGAAGGTGCTTGTGATGGTGAAAATTGATTACCCAAGTTGTTTAAACTGGGAGAATGTGGACGCTTGTTTGTTGTGTTCATTTTTCAAGAGAAAGTGAATTGGAAAAATGCTTAAACTCTCAACGAGCTTTTAACAAAAATTTCACACTGAAATAAATTCGTTAGAAAATCTTAAGGTCACCAATGGAGTAAATTATCAAACTAAACAAATAAAACAAATAACCAACCTTCTTTTCTCGTTGAATTTTCCTTTTTGGCTGAACTTGGGGAAGGTTTTTCTTTTTAATTTTTTTTCTTTTAATTTTCTAAAATAATTTTAGGTTCATATTCTACAGTTTATTTAGCATCAGAAAAGACGACTAGCAATAAATTTGCAATTAAAGTTTGTTCAAAAAGGAAAATTCAACGAGAAAAGAAGGTTGGTTATTTGTTTTATTTGTTTAGTTTGATAATTTACTCCATTGGTGACCTTAAGATTTTCTAACGAATTTATTTCAGTGTGAAATTTTTGTTAAAAGCTCGTTGAGAGTTTAAGCATTTTTCCAATTCACTTTCTCTTGAAAAATGAACACAACAAACAAGCGTCCACATTCTCCCAGTTTAAACAACTTGGGTAATCAATTTTCACCATCACAAGCACCTTCGGCCAAGCGCCAACAATTACTCGACACAATTTCGAATTTAAATTTCAATGAATTACTTACTCCCCCATCTGACCCATTAATTCCCGATTTTGCTAAAACAATTATTAGTCAACAACAACAGATAATTAAACAACTATCTGGTTTGTTGCAAGTCGCTTCGGAAATTTTGACTGATCAAACAACAAATAATATTGATTTTTCTTCTGCTTTTGAGCAGCGACAACGTGAACATTTATTAGTACTAACTGGCCTTCCAGAAAGTACTGATACTCAACCTATGGCTAGGGCTGAAAGTGACAGCAAAGTCGTTCGACAAATTTTAAATGAACTACAAAATATCCCAGATATTTAAATTTTCGGCAAACTCATTGTATGCCATAGGGAAATAGAGTGAAGTTATGAAAGGAAACAACAACATCTAGCCATTTTTAAAACTTTAGGAAGGAATAAAAGAGGGGAAAGAAATTGAATTTTGCTTAAATTTTCAGTTAAAAAATTTCAATAAAACTTTTAAGGTTCACCAAATATTTCGAGAACGTGACATTCTTCGCCTTCTTTCAACCCCCGAACATTCACATCCCTTCATTACCCGCCTTTACTGCACTTTTCAAGATTCTGATTGTCTCTATTTTGTGTTAACTTTGGCGGAGAAAAAAGATTTGTTGGCAAGGTTAAAAGCGTCTGGTGGGTGTTTAGACTTGGAAAAGACTCGTTTTGTGATGGCTGAACTTTGTTTAGCTTTGTTACACATTCATGAGTTAAATGTTGTACACAGAGATGTTAAACCTGGTAAGGGAATTTCTTCAGATTTTATTGAAAGGAAAAAATTAGTAAGGGATGGGGGATGACATTTTAATTATGATTTTTGTTTTAAAAATTTATATGTGGAATTATTTATAGGCTAGGCTGATTTCATGGTTCTCTTTCTACTTTTAAATTTTTTAGAAATTACAAGCTTTCCAACAATCAGACATAATTTTTTTAAAATAATCCTTTTAAAATAAAATGGCATGACGCGGATCAGATTTGCAGATTTCTAGGAGTATAAAGAAAAAAGCCGATGCATTCTTATAATTCAATATTGACATAGGATTAGACAATAGCTCTTTGTAACCCTTTTCCCCTACTACATTTAAATATTCATAATTCCCAAATTATTTCTAATTTTTTAGAAAATATTTTGCTTCGTAAAAATGGCCATATTCTCCTCTCTGATTTTGGTTGTGCTAAATTAATTGATGAATCTGCCAATTTAAACGAAAATAACAATATTAATACAAATAAAGATGTAGAAGAATCACAACAATCGCCCGAAGAAAGGAGGCGAAGTAAAGAGAAAAGGCGTTGTTCTTTTGTTGGAACTGCTCAATACGTCAGTCCTGAGGTTTATTTTCAACTTTTACGAGTTTTTATGAAATCACCTATCCTTTTATTTTTAACATTTTTAACAGATGCTTAATGGAGAGCTGTCAACTCCAGCTTGTGATTGGTGGTAAAGAAAGTTCCTTTTTCTCTTTAAATTTAATTCTAAAAAAAGGTCTTTTGGAATAATTTTATTCGAATTATTATCTGGTCAACGCCCATTTAATGGAGAAACAGAATTTCTTTTATTTCAACAAATATTAAAATTAAATTATAAATTTCCTTCAAATTTCCCTTCAAAAGAAGCAAAATATTTAATTGAACAAATATTAATTTTAAATAAAAATAAAAGAATGAATGGACTGGAAATTAAAGAAAATGAATTTTTTAAAGAAATTAATTGGGAAATTTTGACTAAATTTAAATCGCCTTTATTTGATGTAAATGAAGATTAATAATTTTATATGTCTTTTGAAACTTTTGAATGCATTTGGACTTTAATTAAAATTAGGGTAACAACCCGACCTCCGAAACCCCGACGATTTTTTTTGGCAAAACACAAGACCCAAACTTCGAAGGCAAACCCCCGAATCGGAGTCAGGGTCAAAACATACACCCCCAAAGATGAAATCTTTTGGGAATTTTCGGATATTTTTATTACCAAAATACCTGTTATCGATATATTTTTCTCAAAATAGAAAAGGTGAAAATACATATGGGTAGATATTTCTTTCCTACAAATAAGTGATTTTTTTTATTTTTTTTGATCGTTTGGCGAAGTTAGGTTCGAGTCCATATAGGGGGTAAGTTTGGAAGTTGCCCCACTTTTTTCCTTTCTATTTTTCCTAATTTTCCTTCGTCAATTGACATTAAAATCAACGAAAACTGTCTTAAGTGAACAAAGTTGTGCCCGTTTATCTTTTTCCCTTGCATTGTCACAAAAAGTTTCCCCAACGAGGAACAAAAAATTTATTCGAAAATCAAATTTACATACAAAACAAATTTACAACAAATCTAATAGAATATATTATGAGACATATTACACACAAGGAAATTTAGGAAATATACAACATATAAATGAATGCAAGATAACAACAAAGGAAAATATGAGTTTAGATATTATATTCAGTTCATTTTTATCTCCTTAGAATTCTTCCCCCTCTGTGGCAGGTTCCTCCTCGGCCGTCTCCACCGGTTCTTCAGTGCGCGTCCCACCATCCCGACTCGGTGTTGCAACCAGTTTCTTTCCCGTATCATCAACCGGAAATGGCTCGGACTCAACGTCAGGCACATGATATACTGAAAATTAAAGAATTACACAAAGACTCCTTTTCACTTATTCGAGTACCTCTCTTCGGCTTCCGTGGTTCTTCCTCCTCAATTGGAATAAGCTTACACCGCTTATTCCAGAAGCCTTTAGCGCGCGTAAGTATTTCACACACGTCCTCGGCTGCGGTCGAGATCAGCTTCAGTGGAGGGGCATCCCGTTCGAGCTTGAGTACCACATTTTTCTTTTCAGTGATACTCTGTCGGATAGCCTGTAAATTAAAGGATTGAAAATTGTTTACAAAATTACTTGTAAAAATAACACCTTTTTAGCTCCAGAGACGTCGTCTTTCACTTCCTTGCCGTTAACATCCCGCAATATGTCGCCTGGAAGGATGTACTGCGCAGCTACACTGCCTGGCTCAATGTACGAGACGATGATATTAGATCCCTGGAATTGAAAGCTATTATTAATGACAAGCCCTCATTACTCAATCAATTACCTTCTTCTCCACAATTATCCCAATTGGAAGATCTTCTCGCCATCTGATCTGCAGCTGGATGAAATTGTGGCTCGGGTTTCGCCTGATTTGTGTGACCTTGAGGTTGATCATTCTGAAGTAGTCGTCCCTGCGGAAACGGATGAACAAAGGTTTGGGTTCAGCGCCAGAATACTGGGTTGCTGCCGTGAAGTCTTCTGCCGAGTTTATGGCCTGAAAAATGGACGTTTAAACCGAGTATTACCCTAATAATCGCAGAAGCTTACCCGTTTGTCAATCTGCAAGATCCAGTCTCCAGGGAACAACCATCCAAAGAAGTAGGAGAAGATGTCGATCTTCTGTATCCGCGGCGGCGAGCTCCCACTGAAGAACGTCAGTCCCATGTCCGAGTCTTGGATCTCGATGGTATCCTCATGCTCATGAATGTACTTCTTAGCTGAAAGAGAAAAAAAAGTTAGTTTAGGAGACAACCCTTGTATGATACATCCTCGTTTCTCGGCCATTGTACTGAGACACCAAAGCAAGAGTGAGCAGCACAGCGACGAACCAAAAGCAGCCTTTAGTTGAACTGAGCACAGCGTTGTCGTCACGAAGTGCAGTGAGTTGTAGTGTTGATTTATGCTTCACCTATCAAGGCGCTTTTATACTAACCTATAATTCCTAATAAAACAAATTCTTTATAAAATCCACTGTTTAAGCACATCTCGAAAGAGTTATAATTTCTTGAGGGAATTTTTTGAAGGAATTCTTTCTTAACTAGTGGGTAAACCGCGACCACCATACTAATAAGTTATAGTCGAATTTAGTTATAATAATATACCTCCACTATTTTGTGAGTTGAGTTAGCCGTAAATTTCACAATTGTAATTTTTAATCGAAACTTCAGAATTTCCTTGGTCGAAATTCTATTTCCAAATACGCTTAGAATTTTAAATAATTTTCTTTGAATATTAAATGTTAATGTATTTTTTTTAATTTAAAACAAAATTGAAAAAATCTAATAATTTTTATTAAAAAATATAAAAATAAAAGCTGATATAAATTTAAGAATATTAAAGCGGTAACAGAAAAATTATCGAAAAAATAACAGAAAAAAACATCCGATATTTAAAAATACATATGGGGGTGAAAAAAGATTGTAAAGTTTTCTACAGCTTTTTAAACGCATAGGTTCTCAGGTTGGCTTAAAAAGCTGTAAGTTGGAGATGATTAAATTAAATAAAAATTGGGATTGTTAAAATAAAAATATTAAAATATGTAAATATATAGAATATTTAGGATAAATAGAATATTTTTTGCTAAAATTTTATGTGCTAATTTTTGTAAAAATAAAGAGATTTTTTTTGTTTTAATTGCTTGGAATTGGCGGCAGAAAAAAATAATTTTAATTAAAAATTAATGATTTGCAGTTAATGTTGTTGTAGCCATAGCTTTCTTGCCTGGATTCTGTTGCAAATAACGCGCTGATGAAAGCCGTAACATTTGTAGCTGTCGAATTGCTGCTGTAGCGTTGTATGCCTTGCGCCATTTTCTTAAAGAAAAAATTGAAGCAAAATAAAGTTTTAGTTTTAATAGAAAAGTTTGCTTCAAGTTTTATTAAAAATACAACTTGAAGCAAAATAAAATACCCTAAAATTGCTACAATTTGTTACTAAAACTTGAATTATATTCAAACTTGAATTCAACTTTTTTCAAAACATTTTCTAAAAAATAAAACTTGAAACAGCTTAAAAATAATGTTTTGTTTCTTGCTTCAAGTTGTAATATTTTATTAAGAAGCCAAACTTAAGTTTTTAAGTTTGCAAAATTAATATATTTCTACCTTTTCGCCAAACTTCTTTTTAAATGTGTTGCTACAGTTCCGTGAATGTCTTTTGTTCGAGCTGTGTTTCCACTAATCCAAGGATGTGCTAATGCTTGCTCACAGGAATACCTCTGTTCAGGAGAGCAACACATTAGATGAGAAATAAAATCTTTTGCTGAATCGCTAATTTCGTCCCAATATGGGGAATCGAATTCATATTCCCCTTTAATTATTTGGGCAAATAAATTAGCGTCGTTTTCGTCGTAAAATGGTGGATAACCGCAGAGAAGGATGTAGGCGATTACTCCTGAAAAAGATTTTTTAAAAAATGAAATTTTCTTTCAAAACTCACCAATAGACCAAACATCCACAGCTTTTCCATAAGGTTTCTGCTGAAGAACTTCGGGCGCCACATATCCCGGTGTCCCACAAGCTGTCGCCATAATTCCAGACTCTTCAGTTTTTGAAAGGCCAAAATCTGAGATCATAATTTTGGAATCATCGTCTTGGTTAAAATAAAGTAGGTTTTCTGGTTTCAAGTCGCGGTGGACTACACCGTTGTCGTGCATGAATGAAACTGCTTCAAGCACCTGAAAATAAAATCTTTTTATTCCAATTTTGATTTTAAAATGCTCTCAAGACCTATATCGTGTTAGATCTCACTATGAGATCAAACAATACTCTAATAGAAGCCCGCCTCTAATATATGCCCATCTGAGGAGACCTATTGAAAAATATACCATGGGCTTCTATTGGAGTATTTACGGTATGTTTTTTTCTTAATTTGGTTTAACCACAAAGAGGGCGACTAAGCAATACATTGACCAAGAAAACCTCCATTTAAGGACACCTATTATGAGATATAATTATTTCAGCCCTACAAAGTTTATCTCTTTCCAACTTTACATATTTTTCTCTATCTAATTTTCCAAAATTATTTTTTATTTTCAATTCCATTTTTAGTTAATTATATTTATCATTTAGATATAAATATATTTATTTATTTTTTTTATTTAATTACAATTTCCTTTTTCAATGAAACCCTTTTTGGTTTAATCAAAAAAAGAGAAAAATAATATTTTAAAATATTTTTTATTTATTTAGTTTCAATTTGCGTCAAACAAAAATATAAAGCTAAAAAATGGTAAAAGAAAACCGCGCGATTTTTCTGTTTTTATTTTATTTAAATGGAGGAGATTAAACAAAAAAATAAGGAAAGGATATTAAATTGAAGGATTATTTTTTAAATGAGTGGTAAATTGCGGACAGTCTTTTGCGGATAAATATGGAAATAGTATATTCTGTTAAGAGTTTGTTTTTCCGGAAAGTTTTGCTTCAAAGTTGCTGTTTTCTCTAAACTTTAAGTTTGAACTTGTTTTTCTTTTAAGTTTATTTAAGTTTAAACTTGTGTTTTTCCGGAAAGTTTTAATTACATAAAACTTGTTTTTCTTTTAAGCTGAAAGTTGTTTAAAGTTTAATTAAAGTTGAATTTATTGAAAATAAGTTTTAATCCGTAAATAATATCCGCAAATATCTTTTACGTCCGCTTTTTCGTGTCCACAATTTTATAATCCCATTGGAAATTTTTTTAATCTTTACTGTTTTAGTATTTACGTTAATAGACTTTTTAAAAATAATTTTAAATATCGAAAAAGGATTGGAAATTTTTTATAGTTTAGATTGACAACATTGACGCAATTATGAGGTAACGAAAAAAATTCCGGTACAAAAATAGTTATTAATAAATATAGTTAACATAAAATAAAAGGAAATTTAAAAAAAAAGTTAAGGCTAACCCAAACTTTTAAGCACAATTTAAATTTTAAACACGCGAATACTTTTTGTACTTTAATATATTTTAATTGGTCTAACATAAATGTTGTTTGGAAAAAAGATGTAGTACCTGTCTAATGAGATTGGAAGCGTCCCTTTCTGTATAAGAGCCTTTAGCAACAATCCGATCAAAAAGTTCGCCTCCTGTTACTAATTCCATCACCAAATAAACATAATGTTTCTCATCAAAAGTATCATAAAGTTGAACAATGTTGTTGTGACGTAATCTTAAAAACAAGTTTTAGTATGGGGAAAACAAGTTGAAAAACATTCCGGAAAACAAGTTTTAATTAAAAACTTTTTTGAAAAAACATTTTTCTGGAATAGTTGTTTCCATCAAAACAAGTTTAAATAAACCAACTTCCGGAAAAAACAAGTTCTATAAAAACACACTCCCCAGAAAAACACACTTAATAAAAACACTTTCCGGAAAAACATATTTAAATATTCGGGAAGTAAATGTTTTCCGGAAAACAAAGTTTATATTTACTTTTTTAGCACTCGAATTTCATTTTCTAATGAATCTTCCTTTCCTTTTAATGCCTTTTTGTCAATGCATTTAATTGCAACAAAAGTACCAGGTTCGAAGCGACATTCCGCAAGGAAAACTTTAGAGAAGGCGCCAGTTCCGAGTAAATCTTTAAACTCATACCTTTAAAAAAATAATTAAATTTTCTTCAGAAATTTTCTTCAATTTTTTCTACCTGTCTCTAATATTATAAGCTGTCCCTTGGACTTCAATATTTGAAATAGCCCTTCTATGCTCAGCAGCAGACAGCGCTACTGCTGGATTTGTTCTCCTCGGAAAGAAAGGCATTGTATTATTATTATTGCTATTATCCTCGTTTTGTTGATGATTTATATTTTGATGACAATTAATCCCAAAATTATTATTTTGATGATTCGGGCTTCTAGCAACTTCCCCTAATTGTTGAGGTTGGAAATGGTCGTAGTTTTCACAGTGATATTCTGGTACAAATAATTTTCGAATTGGAGTGCCTTTAAAATTATAATTTTAATTCCGAGAAACATGTTCCGGAAAAACATGTTGCAAAACAGATAAAATAATTCCGGAAAACATGTTAGACATATATAAAAGTTCAGAAAAACATTAAACATTTTCTTTAAAACAAAGTTTGTAAACTTTAACAAAACAAAACAAAACATCCAAACATGCCCCTTCCGGAAAAACATGCTAACAAAACATTTTAAAGAAAAAAAAACATTTTTAACACTCAAAACTCTTTTTAATTTAAATTACAACAAACATTAATTATTTTCCCCTCTAATTTAGTCCAATCTCCATTAAATACCCCCATAAATATATTTTATTAGCCTATACATAATAATGTTTGTCAATTTATTATACTGACGAGAATTAATAAATAATTCCTAAAATATACTGACAATCTAATATTTATAGCAAAAAGTGCTTATTATTATACCATAAATGTAAATATAATTAAATATTAAAGAAAAATGATGTGACAAGAAAAAAGAATTTCTAAAGGTGTGGCTTCTCTTAAAACTATTTTTGTAATTTTATTAATTAAAAAGATTTTTTAAGAAATTAAAAGATTTCCTTGTCTGTAGGAAATGAGGATAATTCGGGATAAGGAATTTTGAAGTATCTGGTGTTTTTAAAAAATCTCAAGGAATTTCCTCTAAAAAATAAAAAAAATTTTGTTAAAAAATCTTAAAGCTTGGCTGAGTTACGAATTTTTAAAAATATAGCTTTTTCGGTGCAACACCTAGGCGCAGAGAAAGCTTATTTTAAAGAAACAAACAAGTTTAATTTAATTAACGTCAAAACATTCCCAACATGTTTTTAATACTAAAACCTGTTTTTCATCAAAAACAACACAAAAACATTTAAATATAAAAAGAAAAATGCCAAAAAAGCTGAACAATTAAATACCTGACTGTTCAGCCGTTTTCGCGTGACTGTGGGAAGTCGTTGAAATATTAACTGTTGTATTACTATTGCTTGATATTGGCACACCTGCTGATATTATTAACTGCTTTTGCTGAGAACATTGTTGTAGCAACGGTTGTTGAGGGGCGTGTTCTCTCTCTGCAGCAGTGGGAGAATGTTGGGGGGCGTTTCCATCAGAATAAAAAGAGGAATTGGAAACGTGAGAACATGAAGAAGAGATAATGGTGTTTTGAGAGGAAGAAGAGGAAGGGATGTTTTGAGAAATGTTTGTTGGGGAAATGTTTGTTGGGGAAATGTTTGTTGGAGAAATGTTTGTTGGGGAAATGTTTGTGTTGTTTGCAATGTTGTGAGGAATGTTTTCAAAACTTTTATTTATTTTTATTTGTTGTTCGTTTAAAAAACATGTTGTTGAAGACAAACAACAATTTGTTGGTAATGGGGAAATTGATGGTTGTGGAGATGATGTTTGGGGAACTGGGGAAGGCGTGGAAGTTTCAAAATCCATTTTAATATTTAATGGTTTTCTTCTAAAATAAAAATTTAATTGACATCATTTTCTGTATTAATTTCAATTTTCTGATTTAAATTGAAAAAAATTGTATTCAATTTCAATGCTTTTAATTTTATTTTTTTTTCAACGACCATCGGACTAAAAAATAATAGAAGACGGGGGATTAGGCAAAAAAACGTTTTAAAGAAGATGAGTGCCACTGGAAGTAAATTATTTAGTCATACTCTCCTATCAATTTCATTTTATGAAGAAAACAAAAAATAATTAAAAACACAGACAAAAAATATTATAAAAACATATTAAAAGTTGTTGTTTTGTTTAAGAAAATTAATTTATTTAAACAAACATAGCTTTCCGGAAAACATTAAAAACATAAAACAAAGTTTACAAAACATTCCGGAAAAGTTAGAGAACATGTGTAATTTTCCAGAAAGAATAAAACTTTTCCGGAAAGTTGTATAATATCAGAAAAATACATAATACATACATAGATCAATTGTTTAATGCATTATTTAAGAATTAAAAATCGAAAAATAATAAATAATTTAAACAAAAAAATAAAAATAGTAAAAATGCAAATTATAAAGGAATTAACGTAATTCCGGTAATTTTGTATTTATAAAATATAATTAAATGTAAAAAATAAATAAAATTAAAAGAGAGAAAATAATATGCAGAAAAGGCTCGCGCACACCTAAAGCTAATATTATTAGGTAGGTTAATAAATTCATGCTACAAAAAATTGTCAATAATTTCAAAATAATTAAAAAAATATTTAAATAACAAAAACATTCGAATAAAATTTATCAGAATTTAATAGGCATTTTATAAGGAATTTTTTGTTTAGAAAATGATAGTTGTGCGTAGGTGTTAAGGGGGGGGGGGGAATGTAAAAAGAAAAAATAGGGAAGAAGCTATCCTTGCCAGCGGGAAAAGCTAAAAATCCAATCAATGGATAGCAAGACTCTGTTAAAAAGGAAAAATAAAATCGAATTTGGCAAATTTCCTTTTGTGAAAATACAGGGGGATGCAAAAATTTAAAAAGATAAAAAGAAATTAGAGAAACAAAAAACATTGTTTGTGAACAAGTTTTGGTGAGACAAACAGTAAAATAAACTTGCTAAACAAATTGTTTATCTGAACAAATTTTAATAAAACAATAAAACAAACAACTTAAAAAAGTTTATTTTGTTTTACGTGTTTTTTTGTTTTATTAAAACTTGTTCAGAATAAAACAAGTTGTTTAGTAAGTCTGTTTTTAAGAAATGTTTGTCTCGTTAAAACTTGTTTACGACTTTGTTTACCCAAACAAGAAAATCCATAATTTAAATGTTTAGAGTTAAAGTTTTAATGAAACAAAGTTTGCGAAAAGCTGCGAATAGCAAGTCCCAGAGGCAATTTAGTGGAAGCAAGTGTGCACTAAAAATCGATAAAAGCAAGCGGAATTAGCTGAAATTATTTTTTATTGTAGTAGCAAGTTTTTATTTAGATTTTAGCAATTTTTTAAAATTTCCGTGGAAATTTATAAAAAAAATTTTTATTTTTTGTTAAAAAGAATGCAAGAATTTAACTAACAAAATTTTACATTGAAATATCTAATTCACAAATAAAGGCACTCTCTAAATACAAATAAAGACTGATTAGGGTCCTTCCGGCGCAGTCTTTTTTTGCTACAAATACTTTCACTTAGTTTTTTAAAAATAACCGCGGCTAAAAGGCTTCAATTTAATTTATTTTAAGAGGGTTGTTGAACGGGAACATCCTTTTATCTCACCATTACTTTGTGCCGTCTCCAAGACAACAAAGCCGGCAAAAAAGGAGAAGAAAAAAGGATGTTTTAAAGAAAAGGATAAAGAAGGGACAAGAAGGGGGATAAAATATATAAAGAAAGGGAGAAACAAATTGGAGAGAAAATATTTTCTATTTAGTATGAAAAAATAATAGCAGCTGTCTCGATTATGCCAAAAAATGAAAACAAAAAGCTTAATGGGCAAAATATAAAATGGTCAGTGGTGAAAAATTAGAAAAAATGTCAAGGGAATAAAAGGTTAACGATGAAAAATTATTTAAAATGTCCAACGTGCAAAGGGTAAAGAGGGAAAAATACTCAAAATGTCAATAAATTGGGCATTTTATATATTGAATGTTTTGAAAAAGAAATGCCAAGACAGCCGACTAAAATTTTAAAGTGAAAATAAGAGATGAGAGAAAAAAAATTAAATTTTGCCATAAAAAATGAGAGAGAATAAGAGGAATGGAGAGGGCATTCTACGAAATAAGTAAAAAAAGTCTATGTACTCAGACATTCACATACTTAAGTTTTTAAAAATGAATATAAATTAAAAATTAAGAAAATTTAAGTGAAAATACATAAAAGATGAAGGAATAATTTAAGGAATATTTTTTAAAAAAATTAAAATGAAAAAATAAAAAAATAAATTTTTTCAAAAAAATAGTAGTTTATTAATCTTCAACTTGTTTGTATAAATTTAAAATGGGATAATATTTTATAAAAAAATTTAAAATAAAACACTTTAAAGATAAATTAATCTTGTGAATATCAAATTTATAATCAGTATAGTTTTGTTTTTAAATTTTAAAATTTTGCGTTGTATATGGTGTTTTTGGCATTATGTTTACTTAAAATGTCAATTTATCCCAAACTTTTTTTGTGAGTTTTGTTCTGGGTTTTCTATGTTTTTTTGTTGTGTTTGTTTGTGTTTTAGAAAGTTTTAATTCTTCACTTTGCTTGTTCACTTTTGTTTTTTTAATTAAAACTTTTAGATATTCAATGAATTCAAGTTTCAACGGCAACATAAAACTTAATGATTCAAGTCAAAATATAAGGTATAGACCTGAATCGTCGCCGCCTGAGGAATTGATGGGTTTAAAATTTAAATTAATTTTTTTATTTTAAATTTTTAGATTGTTTGTTGCCTGATGCTTCTACTTCTACTAGTCAAAATGTAGATACTCGTGGACCTAAAGTTTATCCTATAGGTTTTTTATTTAATTTATTAAAATTATTTTCTCTCAACAAATTTTTAGATCAAGATGTACCGAAGACTTTCTTTCAAACTCCAAAACCCGTTGTTAGACCTACACTTCCTGACCAAATTTGTGTGAACAGTGAAATGACAAAGTTCCATAAACCATCTCTGCCGGTGATTAAAAAACAGCTTGAACAACTTCGAAATAAACTTAGCGAGGTTTGTTTGAAATCTATTGTTTTATCTAGGGGTTTTATGCTGTTTACTCATCCCGTCTAATTCTTTAAAAAGACATTGACTGAATTTGTTAGTTTACTATATTATATTTACACTATTTTTCTTCGTCTCGTACAGCCGTTCGCGTCCACAAATGGAAGCAATTTGCCGTAAAAGTCCACGATTGTGCCTTCTTTTTCAGAAATTAAACAGTAGCTTCTCATTTTTTAAACATTAAAAGGTTACTTGGGATCGGACTACATTCCTTTAGCAAACTATCTCTCTAGACGCTAATTTTTCTCATATTTTTCAGATTCCAAACGTTGAATGGAGACGTCATATTGACCATTTAATAACATTAACTATACAACAACAATCAGATATAGATTTACTTCGTACTTGTTCTTTAGGATATGAACAATGGGCTAGTGGGCAATTAAAGAAGTTTGGCAGTTTATTGTGTGAACATGCAAATTTGACTTTTCAAAAGAAGAAATTGGAAGAACACGAAAAACTTGTAGTAAAGGAGAAGAATGTTATAGAAAGTAAAGTTGACATTTTGGAGAAGGAAAGGAAAAGATTGGAAGGTGAAGTTAAAGACTTGAGGCCTTACAAGGAAAAATATAAGGATTCGCTTAAAGAAATGGAAAGGTTTGTTAAATTGAATTTTTTGAGAGTTTTTTGGGGTAAAATAAATTAAGAATTTCGTGATTTTATATTTGTTTCTCTATTATGCGTCGGGAATTTCACGGGAGAGGAATGTGTTTGGCTTCGGGTTGGGCTCCAAAATTTTTTAAGGATCGGGTTTTGTTCGGAAAAGTCTGGCTTTAAGGTAACCCGTGACCATTTGTAATTTTTCAAAAAAGGATAAAAGTAGTTGAGAAAAGAAAAATGGAAGGGGAGGAAGTATAATTTTTATTTCTTTCTAATTTTAAAGGTTAAAATCTTCTAATGAGACATTTAAAAAAACAGTCAAATTAAATGAAGAAAAATTATCCAAAACAAATGAATTGACAAAAAATCAATCTTTAATTGAAGCTGAAAGAAATAATTTAAAAAAACAATTAGAGGATTTACAAAATAAAGAAAATGGGAAAATTAAAGAATTGGAAGAAAAATATAGTTTGGCACAAAAAAGAATAAAAGTTTTGTTGACTGAATTTAAATGTGAAGATGAAAAGAAGGATAATTCTGATGAAAGTGCTCTTAAACAAAAAATTAGTGAATTGGAAGAAAAACTCGCTAAAGAAAAGAAATTGAGGACTATGGAAGTTAAAACGGTTTGCAAAATTTTTTATTAAAATAACAATTTTGTGGAGAAACTATTTTTAGTAGTTTACCCGACTTTGGGACTTATTTGCGCTTATTTTTCGGATAAACTTTTGAATTAATTTTTCCTCTTCGCTAATGTTTCTTTATCTTATCTTCGAATTAAAAATAAATTGCAACAAAATTTCAAACCCGAGATTGGGTTTTAGAAGGAGGAACGAGACTGGATCTCTTTAGGAATTCCTGGAGGGATACCGTACAGGATCGGTATGATCTTGTAATACCTAAAGCTTGAAATACCTAAGCTTAAAATACATAAAGCTTGAAATACCTAACATTGTAATACCTAAAAGCTTGGAATACCTAAACCCCAAAAACGCTTGAAATACCTAATTTTGGAAAAAAGCTTGTAATACCTAACCCCCAAAAATTTTTTAAATACCTAACCTTTTAGAAAAGTCATTGGAACGTCATCCCCCGTTCACGGGACAACTTCCCCCGTCACTGAATCAACATCCCCATTCACGGGACAACTTCCCCCGTCACTGAATCAACATCCCCCATTCACGGGACAACTTCCCCCGTCATTGAATCAACATCCCCCATTCACGGGACAACTTCCACCGTTCACGGGACAACTTCCCCCGCCACCGAATCAACATCCCCCGCTGTTCTCCCATCACTGAGTCAAAATCCCCTATTGTTGGGTCAACAGTTTGGTATTTCAAGTTCTTACGGGTGTTTGTTATTTCAAGCTTTTTTCCAAGGTTAGGTATTTCAAGGGCTTTTGGGGGTTAGGTATTTCAAGCTTTTTTCCACAATTAGGTATTTCAAGCGTTTTAGGGGCTTAGGTATTTCAAGCTTTTTCCCACGTTTAGGTATTTCAATAGTTTTTGGGGTTTAGGTATTTCAAGCTTTATGTATTATAAGACGTTCCGTACAGGATCCTGTCCGGTACGCTCTTCAATATTTACCTTTCTATTGTTTTTGGGTCACACAACCATTTTTATCCCATTCATTGATGTTAAGCTAATTTAAAAAATAATTGAAACATACATTCACTTATTAACTATCGTTTTTTTCAGAATTCTTCAAGTGAGAATAATGACCCACATGATGGTTTGTCCCGCACGACGAAGCGAGAACTTTCCTTGCGTGATGCTGAGATAAACCGACTTAAAGTTGAATGTGCAGAGAAGGCAGAAGAAATAATTGAGGTTATTTTTTGTGTATTTTTTATATACCATCCTCACTCCTATCATAATTGCGTCCTTTTCTTGTTTTGGTATATTCCTTTAGTGTAAAGGTTTAGTTGTGTTAGCAGTTTTTGTATTAATCAAGAAAATAGACATTTTAGGACTTTTTAGATTCCCGTTTATTAGGAATTTTTTGGCCGGGATTTCTGTTAGTCTTTGGCATGGGGTTAATGTTAGAGAATCAGGCAGGGGTTTATTATCTTCAACTTAAATTAATTCTTTGTCCCAATTCTGGATTTTTAACCCAAAAATTGAGAGTTCCCGATTTTTGGAATCTGGACTGCAGGAAGCCTTAAAATTGACCTTAAAATCTTATTTTTACCCTTAAGATGCGTTGGAAAATTATAATTTTTATTCTATTTTTAAATTTAATTTCAATTTATAGAATTTCAGGGTGGGTTCCCTTTTCTTTGTTTTTGGGTAGCTCCCTTACAGCTCGGTGATAGCCAACTTGTGATCTTCAGTAGTTTTGCAGTTTTTAGTTATTAACGTCTTAAGATAGATTATCGTGATTTAGATTTTTTGTTAAGATTTTATATCACGATTTTTTAGTTAAAATCGCAAATTGATGAAGCAAAACATACCAAGATGGAGTTGCGTGAGAAACTTAGACGCAAAAAAGAAGAGGCACAAACAGCAAGAAACGAACTCAAAGTTGAACAAGAAAAACGGGAAAGCCTTGAACAACGACTGAATGATATGGAGGAAAAACTCAAACTTAAGAGCAAATCCATGCGTGAAGATCAAGTTGGTTTATTGATTATATTTCACTTTATCTCCTGGCGATGATATATTGCTCTATCTGAGCGATGATTTATTCTAACTTTAATTATTTCCATTGTTCTTTGCTATATCTTACAGCTCGGTGATAGCCAACTTGTGATCAATATCAAATTCATTCTCCATTTATACTTGTGATTAAACCCATTCAATTTGTTATTATTAGGATCAATTAAGATAAAAATCTGGTGATTAACACCCACTAATTTTTAAAAATTTTGCTCAAGTAGGTTGAAAAATATTAATGAAATTTTCTGTTCAATTTTGTCTTTATTAATAAGATATATTTGTTCATTTTTATTTTTGATTTCTTAACAAGATAATGTCAATTTTTTAACTACTTATAACTGTAATAAATCCAATTTGTTATTTATAGGATCAATTAAGATAAGCATAACAGATTTATGAAATTGTTCAGTTTTCTAAACTATATATCGATAAGGTTATTTTTACTTGTTTCATTATTGTCTTGTATCATATACTGACCTTCTAGTATTTATGAATTATAAATTTATTATTGCCTATATTATAGATGATAGACAAGATACAAAATTTAATTTAAAAAATATCAAATTCTTTCGCAATTTATACTTGTGATTAAACCCATTCAATTTGTTATTGTTAGGATCAATTAGGATAAGAAACAAATGTTTATGAAATTTATATTTAATTCTAAATTAATATATTGATGTCTATTTTTACTTGTTTCATGATTGGTTTAAATCATACTGTTAGTCATTTTCATAAATATATGACAAGTTAGATAAAACTAAGTAGTTCTCAAATTAAAAATATTCAGCTGTATTGTGTTTTCGAATACAATAAAATTTTCCTCGCCAGGAGAGTTTATGTCCACTTTCAACATTCATAAAACGTTTTGCAGAATATCGAACAAAAAAAGACTGAAACTGTTTTCCCTTCAAACAAATTAATAAAATCTAGGGTATGTTATTATATTTTTTGGTACTATCGCATTATCCGCACCCCAATTTTTCCTTTTCCTTCCTTTTTCTCCTTCTCCTTTATAATCCTTTTTATGTTAAAATGTTAAAAAGCAGTCAATATGAGAAAGTCATTTTTTAAGTTTGTTTTTAAACTTAGTTGCAGATCACTGGAAATTTTTAATCTTCTTCAAAAGAAGGAGCCGTACAATTTCTACAACAAGAAAAGATTTTTCCTTCAAATAAAATCTGCTGCAAATGGTCATGAAATGAAGTTGACTTTGGAATACGAGCCAGTGACGATGTCAAAAATCGACCTGTCGTTCCAAATTAAAACTGAAAGTAGGAAATTTGTTAGAATGGAGTCATATTTCATTTGTTACAGTTGTGCGTTTCCTCTACTTTTGGGTTTTTGAAATGACATCAGGTGAATTTTTAAGCGCGAATTGGATATTTGCCCGAACACTAGTTTTGGAATAATTATCTACGGTGTATTTGTGTCGAATACAAATAAGCCAAGATTATGTAAGGTATTAGGTTTTGGCCAATTATAAAGATTAATCATATCATTTACGAGGTGAAAACATGATTGTTGAATATATGGTGGATGCGTTCTTTTATGTTCCAGATCGTATCCAAAAACCTTAATGAAAGAGATTTTGCTAATGCCTGGAACTACAATATTCGCGGATTGTTGGAAAGGTTACAAGCACAAAACTTTTGGAAGCAGGATTACCACTTTACAGTCAACCATACGTATAATTCGTAAACCCTAAGCATGTAACCAATACACAGAAGATTGTCGGCTATGGGATCAGCCAAATGGAGAAATAAAAAGCATCGAGGAACTGCGCTATCATCTAAAAATTTATCTGGCTGAATTTATACAAGAATATAGAAGAATTTTTTGAATGGATTTGCACGAAAATTTCAGAAATTTGGCCTCCAAATAAATTTACGTTTATCTTTTTTAATTTCTAATTTAAAATTATTTGTATGTATTTTACCTTTATATAACTAACCATTAGATGGAGAATGAGGAAAAAAGGAGAAAAAAGGGAGAAAATGGAAACAATTTTGGTGTTGATAATGCGACAGAACTTTTTTCATTAATTCCATTTTAAGATTAATGAAATAACAACCAAGAAGAATCTGATGGAGAAGGCTATACACCTTTTTGCTGATAAGCAATGTGGTAAATGTGTGACTTTACAAGAAGGTTATTAGTAAAATAATGTAAATATCATTTAAAAATTTAGAACTTGGTGTTCTACAACAAAAATTAAATGTTTCAGTTCAACAGGAGAGTCACGATGCATTAAACAATTTGTCAAAGAGCGATAAGGATGGTTGTAAGGCAAAAGTTCACGCGGAAAAGCCTTCAGCAAAAGAGATGCCAGTCAGTATCCCCGCTAACACTATTGAAAAGGGGCAAACTTCCAAGAGAAAAGCTTCAGAGAGTGACTTAGAACCAAACAAAAAGCGACAAAAAAAGTTAGTTCTCTTAAAAACATTGCATTAGCTGTAGACTAAGTTTGAGTATTAAATATTAAAGCATTTGTAAATGATGTCTCGCCTTAACAACTATTTAAATTACTACACGTCCGCTAATTTCGGCCAGTCGTTTTCGCCCCGCTTTCAAATTAACTAGGTAAATATACGAGAGAGTGGTAGATTTAACGGCTAATAATGCCATGAATACTATCAATAAATGAAGCCTGCCAGAGAAGATTAGATATTAAAAATTGACGATTTCTCTGGAAGGAAGAATAACAGAGAGAACTTCCATCTCAATTGATCTTTGATATAAGTAGAATTTGAGGATTCTAGAAAATGTATGGAGGTTGAAGTTGGAAAAATTAGGGCTGCGTTGCAGATTTTTAGGGCTGGTTCCGCTTCGCGCTGGAGTGTCGAAAGTAATTAAAAATTTACCCTGTGGAACCAAAATATTTGTCCTGTAATTTTTTCGCAGAAATACACTTGCATTTTTACAAGGGCTTTTTTCAAATCCTTAAATATTTTTAAACATACTTATTCGCTAATTGTATTTTTTCAGGAAAAAATCCGATTTGCAAAAAGATACTCAACAGCAAAAGGTTAATCAATCGCTGTCTACAAACACATCAGATTCCCAAAACGATGTTAATCCGACGCCATTAGTTAGCAAACAACAGTCTTCTGAAAAACAAAAAAGCATCCAAAATGAAACAACCCCGACTGTCGTTCAGAAGATCACTGAGCCGCAAAAAGAAGCCCAGCAGAGTTTTAAATTGTCAAAGACTTCTGAGCAGCAAAAAACAAAGGAGCCACCTAAAATCGTTCAGAAAACTTCTGAGCCGCAAAAGATCAGTCAAAAGGATCCTCCTCCACCACCTAAGAACGTTCAAAAAACAGTTGATTCAAAGAAGGATGTCCAACAGACTTCAAAACCTATTCAACAAACAGCACCAGTTGCTAAAGTTATTCAACAACAACCCTCAACATCTCAAAAATCATTGCCGCAAAAGCCTGTGGAACAACAACAATCGCCAGTTATTAAACAAGTTGATGCTAGCAGTATTGCTTCTCGTATTGTGACTTCATTTATGATGTAATAATTCTTGGCTCTGGTCTAGCTTAGTAGTCCAATGAAGGTTTAATTGTCCGATGAAAGTTTATGAATCCAATACGAGTTCCAATAAAGTTTATGAGTTTTGATTGGACTCATAAACTATCATCGGAACTATTAAGCTTCCTTTGGACTACTAAACTAGACGCCCTAATTCTTTTATTATAAAAATTATTTGTTATAGGTTTATTGGCGAACCTTGTAACGTGAATAATGATGCTCGTGTTCTTATTCCTGACTTTCTCAAGCGTTATGGACTTCCTCCTAATCATTTAATTGGGACACAACTTGCAGTAATTGCTGAAGAGGCACAGAAAGCAAAAGAGGAAAGTATGGTTAAATAGTGGTAATAAACGTGTATGTATGTGTAATAAAACGGGGATTTTTTTCTTATTCTAAAGTTGTTGTAGGCTTAAGAATTGTTTTGAGCTGTGTATTTATCTTAAATATATTTTTTTCACACATTTTTATTGCAATAAAATTATTAAAAATGATTTTGGCAGGGATTTATGTGGAGGTTAGGTACTTAAATTGACAGCTAGAAAATGAAATTATATAAATTTAATTTTTCTAGTTCCACCCAATCGTCCAGTATTTTCCAAAGCTGAACTTCCTACCGCCGACATCCCCTCTGATATACCACCATTTTGAGAAACTTCATGTCCAGCTTCAGTTAAAGGATTTTTAAAGAATATGTATTTTTGCTACTTAGCATTTATACCTGCTACATGTCCCGCTCCATTTTGTCCAGTTTCAGAAGCTCCTACATTTTGATGACCTGATGCTTCTACTCGTTGTGCTCCACTTTCTGATTGTCCTGTCCCTTCTGAGTGTTGCCCCGTTCCTTCTGAATGTTGTTCACCCTCCATGTGTTGGTGTGCTTCCTCTCCCCCTTGTTTATTATTATTTTGATTTTCTCCGCCCTCTTCCTTATGTTCACTTTCACCTTCGCCTTTTTTCTTCTTTCCACCATGGGAGTGATCAGGCCATCCAACAAAACGAACCTAGAAGTTGATGAATTTAATGTTTATGAATATCTCTTACCGCTCCTCCTAAATGTTCGTGTTCATCCTCTTCTGATTCTGAGCTGTGCTCACCACCAAGTATGTGAGGAGATAAAATCTTTAAATTGTTTAAGATTGTTCTTTGTAATTTGTTTACAAACCTCAATCAAATAATGTTCCTTGCTGTAAATACGTGGAGAAAGAAAATGAGGGCTAAGCACAAGTACTGCAAAAAAGTTTGGTGATAAAAATGTTACTTCGCCTGCGGCTTTAAATGGAAAAATATTTTTATAAAATATTTTTAGAATTTTTTACATGGTCCGAGAATTTGTACAAATAGAGCACGTGGGGAAGCAACACGTGCTTCTGCTGCTACAGGGGAAAGAACCTTTGGGGAAAAATTTTTATGATAAAATTTAAATCTTCTGTTTGCTTCTCACTTCTGCCATAAAAGCTTCCGGACTGAGAGTATAAGTGTCTAAAACTTGGGGTGTCAGTATTTGAGCTTTGAATACTTCAGGGCTTAGAACACGTGCAAATACTGCCATAGGAGAAAGAATTGTTGCGTAAAAGGCGACTGGGGAAAGTAAACGAATCTGAAGATTTATTTGAAATATTTTTTGTGTTTTGCTTTAATTACCGTCAATATTTCAGGGGAAATTATTTCTCTGTAGAATGCGTGAGGCGATAAAAATAAGCCTTCTAGCACAACACCTCCCAGTCGAGTATCAAAAGCAAATGGCTCCAAAGTTAATATTCTAGGGATTGGATGAACGCCAATTTCTGTATCTGGTGCCAAGCCACCAACCTGACGTTTTTTTCTTGCTTGTTGGAATGAAGGAACATTGCCATCTAAAAATATTATTTAATTAAAGTTTGTATTTAATTTTTAAGCTTAGTCTTAAAAGTTTATTTTACTCAAACTTGTTTATATTTCAAGTTTGTAAACTCAAGTTCTTTTTTTATTTTCAAGCTTCTTTAAAAGCTTAAAATAAGTTTTCCTCACAATTTAATGTTTTCCAAGTTTCTGATTCCCCCAAATTTGCAATTGCTTCAATTTTTTCCTCCAAAGCATTTTCTGCATTTTCTACATTATTCCAATTATTATTTTCGTTAATTCTTATTATTTTTTGTTGCCAATCAAATAAATAAGTATATCCAAGTTTATTTATCATTTCAATTTGTTTAAAGTTTAAACTAGCTTTTAATTTCCCCCATTCCCCTTCTTTTGTTTCAATTTGTTTAATTGCTGGAAGAATTTTTGTTTCAAGTTGGGAAAGTTCTGGATTTAATTGATTAACTAAATGATCTAAAGAAGAAATGTTTTTTGAGTATCTATGTAAATATTATCCAAAATTTTTACCCAAAATTTTATTCATTCCAGTTATATTAATTAACAAATCTAACCACTCTATTTGTTCTTTTTGTCCAATAGCTTCAAGGGGGAATAAATTGGATAAAGAAAGTGTCTGGTTGTGAAAAGCAAAAATATCTGGTGAAAGTAGTTGGCTTATATTTGAATTTAAATTGTTTATAAAATTGTTGTTTTCTGATGTTTTTAATTTATTCTTTCGAGGATATAAAGGGAAGAGGCGGGGGGATAGAAAAGATAAATTAGTATCTTCTTTTGACTTTCCTTCACTAATTGAGGTTGTTAATTGTTTAGTAAATTGTTCAATTTGGGCTTGGAGTCCATCCAAGTTTGAAGGAGTATTTGCTGAATTTGGAGTCAAACGGACATTTGGCAAGAGGTTGGCCAGAAAACTTGAAAATAAGTAATACTGTTAAAAGTTTAAAGTAACTCTAATGGCCCTTCTCATTAATACATGTTCTAATGAATCTTAAATCCGACCCCGTTCTATTACAGATTATTAGTCCAACCGAGATATTTGAGTAATTTTTTCTTTCGAGGATTAAGTCCAGTCAAAGTTCGCAGGGTTTAATCAAAATTTATTTGTAAGATGTATACGATGAGTGACTCAGATACATATTTAAATTTGGATTAAGAAATTAATAGAGCCAGAACATCAAAAAAGCCTAGAAACTTCAATGTTCTCCCCCCCCCCCCCCCCTTAAACCAAAAAATATTTGAATCACTTTGCATTTCTCTCATTCATTGTTGAAATGAAACGTTTGCAATGCTTCAATGTCCTCCCATACCTTTCCAAAATTCGCAAATTTCGAATATTTTTGGGAAGTTCAAAATCCATTTTATTGGCAAATAGAGTTTTTGTTGAAATTGATCTTTTATTTCGCCTATTTAATTTTCTCAATTTAATTAATTTGTTGCCTTTCCTTTTCCTCCAGATTGAATAAAAATGATGAAATCTTTGAATTCTCCTTTGGTTGATTTGGGGTGGTATGGCTTTGAAATTGGAATTTTTTTTAATTTTGGCATTTCAATATTCCGAAAAATATTTTTCTTAATTGGTTATTTCAAAAATGAATATTTTGTAATTTTAAAATGATGACATTTTTATTTATTATTGTGTGCAACAAAATCGCAATCCTTCCCGGGATCCCTAATGGGATTTAATTTCAAAACGTTGAACGGGACGGGATCCCGCGGGATCAATCTCTTAAATCCCGGTAATCCCGTTCGTGATCAAAACCCGAGATTCCGGGATGGATCCCGTAAAATCCGTACGGGTTCTCAACACGTGCCGCACTTTATTTATTATTCACCTCTCTCTTTATTTTCCTCCTTTATACGGTAGGCATCTTTCAAACGATTTTTTGCTTTAATCAGTTTTACTAAACATTTTGCATAAAGTACAGGTGTTAGTTGTTCTTGTTTATATTCACTTAAACATTGATTAAATAAAATACGTTCAACTTGTGGAACTTCTGATAAAGATGCTCGTGCTTTGGCTTTCAACATTGTGAAGATTGCAGCGCGTTTAAAGAGTTTGTCGACATTGTCGATTGATAAAAGATAATTTTGCTTTAATTGTGTGTTTAGTAAAATTATTTTTCAATTCAACCTGCTGTTCTGGAATAATGTTGCCATTTTTTGACATTTTTTGGTTTGTCGGGAATGACCACGAAAATGATATTTGAAGTAAAATGAGGAAAATTAAGTTGATGTAAAATGAGATCAAAATGAGGAATGAATGGATTCGGCAAGAGGAGTTTGTTGAAGGAGAGGGAAATAATGATGAAGAAGAAGACAAGGGGAAGGAAGATGAAGATTTGGAAATAAAGTACAAAGAAGAAAAGGAGGAAGTTGTGGGGAAGGAGGGTGGATAAACACAAAAAATATTAAAATTAGATTCAAAAGAATTAATTATTTGATTATTTTTATTTCTTCTTTTTCTTCTTTTTCGCTGCTGAAAGTTTAGTAAACAACCAGAAAAGGGGGGTAAATAAGAAGATAAATGTTGTTGCTTGTTTTCTTGTTGAGATGGCATTGAAAATAAAAATTAATATTAAATGATGAATGGAAAGAATTAAAAAGACAAAACATTTTTGGGGATATTTTTTAGTTTTTTTCTCTTTGAAAATAAACCGCAACAGGGCTAACTTTATTTTTTTACCTTTCTTTTTATCCTTTCAGACGTGTACCACGCGATAATTAAAAGTGCCAGTATATAAATTAATTAAATAAGAGGAGAAGTTTTAGAGTCTCGAATGCATATTTTGTTTATAAAGCTGTGAATAAACAAAAATAATTTTTAAATTTAAATTTTTAAAGATTTTTATTTCTTTATTTATTCAAAAAAATAAAAATAAAGCCACTAATATATTTGAAAAGACAATTACAGACTAACATTTGTAGTTAAATTATTAAATTTTGATTATTACATATTTTTATAGACAGGTTCTTCCATCTTCTCTACCCAATCAACACATTTTTTGGGAAATATTAATCTTTTATTAAATAATCTCAAAAAAACATGTTTTGATTTTTTAAGATTAAAATAATTTGTTTTTTTTTTTACAAAATATTTCAAAAACAAAATTTAACGTAAATGGACAACCAAACTAACTTTAAATAAAGAAAAAATAATTTTATTTTTTTATTTTTATTTTATAGCACTGAATCTCTTCTCATCTTGTGATACAAAATTTAATTTTTATATTTTCAAGTTCCAAAAAGTTCTGGCTCTTTAAACGAGATTAGACTAATATTTAATTCAGACTCAAATGCTATAAAAATTAAAAAATGCAACAAAAATACAAGATTTTATTCGACAGACAAAAATATCTTATTCAATTAACTTTTTAAACTTTATTTAATTTGACAGAAAAAAGGAGAGAATGAGAATATAGGAGGAATAAAAATATATATTTAATTAATTAAAGGGGTGGGGGGGGGGAGGATATTTTAACTAATTTATAAAAAAATAAAATTATTTAAAAATTAAAATTAGGAAAAATTTCTAAATATTTTCATACAAAGCAGGGGATGGACGGACCTTTTTCGACCCGAAGCACGACACGAAAAAATTTTTTTGGAAGCCCAAACTGATACCCAACATTTTCCATGAAACTTTTTCGCACAAGAAAGAAATCTGGCTTCTTGACCTTCCAAAATTCTCGTCTTAAACATGACCATTCAACTCCTCTCAATAGATACTTTTAAACGTGTTTCAATTGCATATTCAAATTTCTCACTACAAAATTTATTCTTTCACCTAAAACTCTCCTCTAACCGATCATTCGGAAAATATTTAAGAGTGCAAATATTTTACAAAAAATTTATTCGAAAAACAAATTTACATACAAAACAAATTTAAACAAATTTAATAGAATATATTATGAGACATATGTACATATTACACACAAGGAAATTTAGGAAATATACAACATATAAATGAATGCAAGATAACAACAAAGGAAAATATGAGTTTAGATATTATATTCAGTTCATTTTTATCTCTTTAGAATTCTTCCCCCTCTGTGGCAGGTTCCTCCTCGGCCGTCTCCACCGGTTCTTCAGTGCGCGTCCCACCATCCCGACTCGGTGTTGCAACCAGTTTCTTTCCCGTATCATCAACTGGCAATGGCTCGGACTCAACGTTGGGCACATGATATACTGAAATTTAAAGAATTACCCAATGACTCCTTTTCACTTATTCGAGTACCTCTCTTCGGCTTCCCTGGTTCTTCCTCTTCAATAGGCTCGAACTTAGACCGACGCTTCCAGAAGCCCCTCTGGCGCTTAAGTATGGCAAGCACATCATCGGCTGGAGTCGAGATCATCTTCAGTGGTGTGACATCCCGTTCGAGCTTGAGTACCACATTTTTCTTTTCAATGATACTCTGTCGAATAGCCTGTAAATTATAGGATTTAAAATTGTTTACAAAATTACTTGTAAAAATAACACCTTTTTAGCTCCAGAGACGTCGTTATTCACTTCCCTGCCGTTAACGTCAACCAACATGTCGCCTGGAAAGATGTTCTGCGCAGCTATACTGCCTGACTCAACGGACGCGACCATGATATTAGCTCCCTGGAATTGAAAGCTATTATTAATGTCAAGCCTTCATTACTCAATCAATTACCTTCCTCTCCACAACTATCCCAACTGGGAGATCTTCTCGCCATCTGATCTGCATGAAGACGGAAACGCGGTTCGGCTTTCGCGTGACTTCTGCGACCTTGAGTGTGGCCATTTTGAAGTAGTCGTCCCTGCGGAAACGGATGAGCAAAGATTTGGGTTGAGCGCCAGAATGCTGAGTTGCTCCCGTGAAGTCTTCTGCCGATTTTATGGCCTGAAAAATTGTGACGTTTAAACAGAGTACTAGCCTAATAATCGCAGAAGCTTACACGTTTGTCAATCTGCACGATCCAGTCTCCAACGAACAACCATCCAAAGAAGTAGGAGAAGATGTCGATCTTCTGTATCCGCGGCGGCGAGCTCCCACTGAAGAACGTCAGTCCCATGTCCGAGTCTTGGATCTCGATGGTAGCCTCATGCTCATGAATGTACTTCTTAGCTGAAAGAGAAAAAAAAGTTAGTTTAGAAAACAACCCTTGTATATACATCCTCGTTTCTCGGCCATTGTACTGAGACGCCAAAGCACGAGTGAGCAGCACAGCGACGAACCAAAAGCGGCCTTTAGTTGAATTGAGCACAGCGTTGTCGTCACGAAGTGCAGTGAGTTGTAGTGTTGGTTTATGCGTAAACTATTAAGGCGCTTTTATACTAACCTAAAATTCCTAATAGAACCTTATTCCATTATAAAATTCCCTGCTTAAGCACACCCCTGAGAGAGTTGAAAAATAAAAGCAAACTCACTATTTAGAAGCATACCACCTAGCAAGGAAAACTTCTTGGGGAAATTTTCTTTTCTTTTACCTGCAAGTAAACCCCGGCCACAGCATCAATTCGAATCTAAGCAGTGCTGGGCTATAGCTATTTCTCTCCTTTAGCTAGTGCAAAATCTTATTCAGCGGCTAGGAGCGAACCAGCATCTTCAGTTTACAGGACTGATGTGTTATTAATTACATCACGCCGCCTCCTGGCAAAGACTTTGGAATTACTTAGGCTGAGACATAAATAATGAGCCCCTCATGAGTTAAGCGAATTAAATAATTATTAGAATTCAACAAAATGTTTTCAAAATGTAATTTATTTTTTTTATCTTCCTAATAGAGTTAACTATTTTTGGGCGACTATATTGCAATTCCTTTTATATTTTACTATATACATATTTTCCAATGCTTTTTTAAAAAAAATTTATTTTATAAAATACATACCCTCTTCCCCTTCAATTTATAACAGCAAAACAATTAAAACTAGACAAAATATAAATAATTTCCTTCAATCTTTATATTTTTCTTTACAAAAATCGGAGAGGTGAATTACATCAAATTTATTTTTTTGCTCTCCTTTTTCAATTAAAAAAAAGAAAAAATGAAAGGAATAAAAAGCATTTTCCCTCAATTTTTAAAATATATTAATTTGTGTTTTTGTTTTGTTTAGATCGCCAACTAATTCATTGAACTTTTTTCGATTATAAAAAGATTTAAAAAAATAATTTAATTAATTAATTAAATTTTGGGTATTTTGAAATTGGAAATTTTAATCATTATTTATTTATCATTATTTATTATAAATTTATCATTATTTATTCATTGAGAGTCATGATCACTCATCGGTTGAGAGACATCTAGTGAGTGAGTGATATCCATTAAATTTTAAAAGGCTTTATATTCATCTCTTTTCAATACATTTACTGCAAGAAATTACTTTTTCTTTCCGTTATTAAAAATAAACCGGTACAGTCGATAAGCTCATTTGGGTGGTTTAACACTAAAAAGCTTATTTTTTCGAAGATTGTCGCATGCCATCATTTAAAATATTGATAAAAAATAAAAGTAATCGAAAGGATAAAAAAGTTAATTTAAAAAAATATCCACTTCCTTTAAAGAAAAGGTGTGTGGAGACAGGAAGAACAGAAAATATGTAAAAGGTTGGGGGCGCCAAAGCCGATTGACCGTGAATTAAAAAGGAGATCAAGAAAAATAAATAAATATAGATTTACTAGATGAATTTATTTTTTGACGACCGCGCGGAAATAAGGTGCTTAATTTTTGTGTTTTTTTTAATTTTGTTATTTTTATGTTATTGCTTTAATGCTGGAATTTTTTAAAGGAATTTTAAATAAATTTATTTATTTAATTTATCGATATTTATTAAGGCTTAACTCTTGATGATTTTAAATGCCTCTTACTTCCCTCAAATTTTTAAAATTTCAAAACTTTTATTTGTCTAAGAAAACATCAATTTTCAGACTGTCAAATCATCAAAAATATTCAAAAAATATATTTAATTTATATATGTATTTATTTCCCTCGACATTCGTGAGAAATCCCCTCACTCATTTCTCTAAATCTCCACTCATTTCTTCAATATTATAGGATGAGTATGAGCGGTATTAATCCGTTCAGCGACCCTTAAAACTGCCAATATTACTATTTCTTTTCAAAATTTTGTGTATTTTAAATATATCTTTGTTTGTTCTTTTTTTATAAAATTATTTTTAATTTTTAAATTTTTTTCTGCAAAAAAAATGTTTTTTTACTTTAAATTTGTTCTAAAATCGGAATCGAGGGAGTGCTTTTGGTTTTATAAATTCTTTGTTTTCGAAACTTTTCAATAATTTTATACTATTCGAAAGCTCTATATTTGCTGATTATTTTTTGCTTTTTAGATTGATTCAATCTAAAGTTTTATTAAAATTAAGCATGAAAATCACGATTATCGTCAATCATTTGGCCATAACTTTTTGTGGAATTATTTGACTGGAAAAGTCCTTTAGCAAAAATAATCAGCACATCTAGAGCTTTAGAAAGATACAAAATTTATAATTATATCTTGAAAACTAAAAAAGTTTGGAGTCAAAAATAACTCTCATTCTTCTCCTCACAGGCTCAAATTTCAGTGCCAAATGCCAAATAATTACTGTAACTCATTAAATGGATTAATTACCTCCTCCTTTATTCAATTATTTAATATTCTTGCCATATTAAATTCAATACCTCAAACAATAGCTATTTCTTATCGTTGTGAAGGGGATCAAGTTTTAGTAGTACAATCCTTTGGAAATGACACAATTCGAATGCATTGTCAACGTTTAAATGTTTGTGGGGATGTTGATGTTGTTAGTTATAATTTAAGGAAATAAAAAATAAAATTTAAATAAATAAATAGCATTGCCATTACGAAAAAAATCAGCCGGCATGTGGAGGTAAAGCTAATTTTGTTGCTCATGTAGACCAACCTACTCCTTTGGCCCCTGTATCACATACTTGCTGTGAGGCGATTCCGCCTTTTGAGGAAAAGATGAATGAAATTCCTAGGCAAGTTATGATGGAAATTTTCAAAATTCCCAATTTTTATAGTCACGAAGGCAATGATTGTTTCATTTACGAACTTCCCGATCCCAATGCTCCCCCACCTGAAGAAGGGGAACATAACAACAAAAAAGAAGAGGAGGAAGAAGAAAATGAACACTTTACACTTCTCAACAGTATTGACCAATTACCTGGACATATAAATCCAGAAGGATATCATTATAGAATGAGGCTTTTTCTGTTGAGGTATAAAAGTCCACCTGCTCTTCTTGTAAAAGGAATTAGACGATTAAGGTATGTTGTGGGATTCTAATGGGCCTTTTTGGAATTACTGTGATTTTAACCCGTACTCCATGTCCCTTTCACAAAAACAAAATCTCATCATTAAGGGAAGGATATCGAGTAACTATTTGCCGTCCACGCTGTAGAAGGGTAATCATTGAAGAAGATGAACAACAAGAGAAAGAAGAAGAAAATAATAATCTCAAAAAATGGATAACACAAAAATTGAGTGGGAATGATTCTAAAAAGAAGATACCCAAAACTTTAATTAAAAATTCAAGTGAAAGGATAATTAAGGAAAAGTTGGCTGTTGTAGATGGAGGAGTTTTGGCACCCGATAAACAAACAAAAATAATCGAAAATGAAACAAACAATGTGGTAAGAAAATAAAAATAAGGAAATAAAAATTAAAAGAAAATTAAAAGAAAAATATTTAGAGACTAGAACCATCATTATTATTATCAACTACAACAGCAGAAAATCCTTCAAATTATACAGAAATCCACATTTCTACAAATTCTTCCTCTAATATAACAACTTCGGAAACTCTCAACAAAACCCCAAATATATTAATAAATACAAACAACAATGTTACTTTCATTGCAAGTGGTACTGGCCAACACAACAATGTTTATATAAACAACAATAATAATTTAACTGTAATTTCAATTGGAAATTTAAAGAATGGGGAAGATTTGAAGAATAGCAGTACTTTAATGAGTAAAAATAATATTACTGTAACTGATGGAGAAACTAATGGAAAAGATAAGGAAAGTTTAAAAGAAAAAAATAGGGAAGAAGTTAAACAACCGGAAATTAAAAATCCGGAAAATATGGAGAAAGGAAACAAAGAAATTGAAAATACGGAAGAGAAAACGGAAGTTGAGAGTTCAAAATTAAAATACATAAAATTAGAAACAAACAAAAAGAATAAAAAACCGGAAAAGACAGAAAGGGAAAATACAAAACCGGAAACAACAAAACCAGAATTTACACAAAAAGAAAATACAAACAAAGGAAATACAGAACCGGAAAACACAAATAAAGAAAACACAATGGAAGAAGAAAATACAAAAGAAGGGAGTGCAAAACCGGAAAATACAATGGAAGGAAAATCGAGGTTGCAAAATTTTTCTGGTAGAAAAGGACTAGAAAGAGTAATGCCAGAAGCTGCCCATAAAATTGGAGATGTGAAACCAATTGTTAATAGAGAAAAGGATCCAAATTTTAATAATTTTGAAGGGGAATATAATAAATTGGAAAACGAATCCGGAAAAGGGTTCCCTGGAAAAGATTATTCCAGAAAGGATAGAGAATTTGCTGGTAAAGAAGGGAAAGAATCCGGAAAAGAATTGGGAAAAAATTTTGAAAAAGTCAATAATGGAAGGGAATTTGGAAGGAATTCTGGAGGTGAATTATTTGGGAATGGTTCAGGAAAAGGAGATGGGAAAAGGGAAGAAGGCGAAAACGGAAATGATGAATTAAAAGAAGGAATAAAAAGAAAATTGAACACAAATGGACATGATGGTTATGAAAATAAAATAAAGTTTAGAAATGGTTCTTCTGTAAAGAAAGAGGATGATGAAAATGATGAAAAAGGAAAAGAGGGAAAAGAATTAACCGAAAATGATTCCGGGAAGAAGGACAACAAAAACGCTGGAGGAAGTGATGAGAAAAATGAAAAAGTAATGGAAGAAAATACGGAAAGAGAAAAATTGATTAAAGAAATGAATCGAGTAAGTGGAGGAAATAAGATAAAAGAGGATGAAGAAAGTGAAGAAGAGATGAAGAAAAGTAAAAAGCTTTCGGATAAAAAAGGAAAGGAAGAGGTTGAAGGGAGGAATAAACAAAAGAAGAAAAATGATGAATTTGAAGAAGAAAATGGAAGAGAGTTAAAGAATGGTGGAAGAAAAGGTTCTTCTATTGGAAAAGATTTAGAAGAAGGAAGGGGGAGTGAAGAAGAGGAATGGAAGGAAGGAGAAGAGAAGAATTTAAAGGAAGAGGAATGGAAGAAAGGGGAAGAGAAGGAATATCTAATGAAAATGATAAAGTATTAGAAGAAAGTGAAGGGATAAAAGATGGAAACACTGAAAGGGGAAAAGTGTTGAAAGAAGGGAGAACATCTAATGAAGAGAAGAATGGAGGGAGAGGATTTGAAGAGAAGGAAAGGGAATCGAATGGAAAAGGATTAAACGAAAGAGAGGGAGGAGGAAGATTATCTAAGGAAAAAAATAAAGGAAAAGGATTGGAGGAAAAGAGAAGAACAGCGAGTGAAACTAATAGAAGTGGATTGGAGAAAGGAATGGAAGAGAATAATAAAATAAGAGTTGAAGAAAGTGGGAAAGAAGAAAAGTCTGAAACTGGCCTGAAGAAAAATGATGGAATAGGAAAAGGATATGAAAAAAGAAAGGAAGAAAAAGAGGGAACAATAAACAATGACAGGAAGGAAAAAGGAAGAGAATTGGGAAGAGAAAAGTCGGAGGGTGAAAATTTTCCTAATGAAAAAAATATAGGAGATAGAAGGGAAGAGGCTGGAAGAAGTGGAAGAGTATTAGAAGAAGAGAAGAATAAAAATGGAGAACAGAAAGGAAGTGAAAGAGAGAATGGATCAAGTAGGAGAGGATTAGAAGGAGGAAAGGAAGAACTTAAAAATGTAATTAATGAAGAAAATATTGGGGGAAGAGAAATGAAAAAAGGAAAGGAAGAAAGAAGTGAGGGAAGTAAAGAAACTATGAATAAAGGAAGAAGAGGAAAGGGAGGATTCGGAAGAGTGTCTAGTGAAAAAGAACGAGGAAGAGGGTTGGAAGAATTAAAAGGAGGAGAATTAGGATCTAGAAAAGGATTGGAAGAAGGAAAAGAAGAGAATGGGAGAGTGAGTGAAGAAAAGAAAATAAAAGGAGGATTGGAAGGAAAGGAAGAGAATGGAGGTTTGAGTGAAGAAAAGTTGCGAGGGAGAGGAATTGAAGGAATCGAAGAGAATGGAAGAGTGATTGAAAATGAGAATCGTGAAGGAGGATTGAAGGAGGAAAAAGATGGGAATGAAAGAGTGAGTAAAGAAGACAATAAAGAAAGAGGATTGGAAGGTAGAAGAGGAAAGTTCAAAGGAAGAGACAGAGGAAAAGAAGAAAAACATGAAGAAGAACTGGAAGAAAAAGGATTAAATGAACAGAAAAATAATATTCCAAAATCCTCCAGAAAAGTGGAGAGCGGAAATGAAGCAAAAACAGTAAAGAAACTTTTGCTAGAAGAGCATGGAGAAAAACCAAAATCTTCTAGAGAAGAAAATAATGGAAATCGGGACTCTGGTTTAAATGGAGGGAGGGATAGTGAAGGAAAAATTAAGGAACCCCATCAAGTCAGTTCTGAGGAAAATGAAACTAACAAGCATTGGCGCCCTCATACTCGAACAAAAAAGCCTAAGGAAGAAACAAGTACTACAACGATATCAACGACAAGTAAAAGTGGTGGTGAGGTATCAAACAGAACAACAACAACAGAGATATCATCAACACATTCAAAAACAACAACAGACCCTTTTACACACCCACAAACATTCGAAACAACAACGGAACATAGACGATACCACAAAACGACAACCGAACCTCAAACTTCGTCTGAAGCAACTACAGAACCTTCGACAACAACAACTTCAGAGACATACCCAAAAATAGTTACAAACCCTCAAGAAACAACAGAAACTTCGACTTCAACAACATCCCAGTCTGTTACCCCCACAACTAAAGAATCAAGCGAAATGGTGGAAGAAGCAAAAGAAGATTCTAGAGAAGGAGAGAAAGGCAACAAAAATATATTTTATAAAATAACGTTTTTTAATTAACAGAAAAACCACCAGATAAGCCTCATTCTCTTCAACATAGCGAACCTATTAAACAAAATGAACAACCAACACCTGCAGAACAAACTTCAGGCTTTGAAGAATTATTTGGGTTATCACATAAAAATTGTTTTAGTGGTGATACTCTTGTACAGACAGTTAATGGAGTTAAAAGAATGGATAGACTGGAAGTTGGGGAATTGGTATGGAGGGTTTTGGCTCTTATCCAGTCCAATCACAAATTTTAAGTAATCGGTTCTGCACTATATTACCATAAAATCCATTGTAATAGAAAGCTCTACTCACCAAGAGTTATACTCACGCATATTACCAGCCATAAGTTTTAATACATAGTAGAACCGGATACCTAAAATATAAAGGGGTACTTAAAATAAAGGTAAGATTGGACGCTTAAACTGGACAGGAGCCAGGTTTTTTGTAAGGAGTGAAGTCCACTCATCGAGCTAAAGAGATTGGTACCAAAATTGTTATGGTCCAGAAATTTTCGAAGTAGTTATAGCTTTGCGCCTACTTGGACGTGTCCCGGGCTGGGGCAATATAAATATAAAGTACCAGAGAATCTTGATTTTTTGTTTCTGGAAATGAAAGATTTTTTGTGGCATAAAGGCTATTTTGCCATAATTACAGTCAACCTCACTTTTCTTCATTTAAGGTACTGGTACCAGCAAGCGGTAATTCTCTCAAATTTGAACGTGTTGAAATGTTTTATCATCGAAAGCCTGATGAAAATGTAAAGGGAGGGGGGGGGGATTTGAATTTTTAACTTTTTAATTTTAATTTTCATATAGACACTCTTCTTTCAAATAGAAACAGAATCGGGAAAACAACTTTCTTTAACTCGTATATTGTTAAATTTTTTAAAAATTAAAAAATTATTTAGCTTTACATTTATTGCCATTTGGTAATTGTTCGGAGATGGAATATGGAGAATTGGATTCTGACAAAATTGAAAGATGGCTACAAAAGTCTAGGTAAAAAAGATGGAAAGTTGAGAGAGATTACCCCCAATTAATTAACTCTCCTTCAATCGAGAGGTAGAAGCTTTAATTACCCAAGGCTCTAGTTGTCTAAGTAAATAAGCGGATATCCTCATAGGGATGAAATGGCAAAAAAATAATTCTTTAACCAAAACACTTATTTATTTAAAGATTTGCTCACAAAGCACGTGTAGATGATTGTGTTTTCACTGTAACTCAACAAAGGAATAAAGGAGTTAAAGTTAACGTTGAAAGGATACGAAAGATTGGAAGACGTTATTCTAGAGGAATATATAGGCAATTAAATATATATTTTATCTCAAATTTTTCCATTTAAGTCCAATGACCGTTGAGGGCGCTTTATTGACAAATGGCATTCTCAGCTCGTGTTTTTCACAAATTGAAAGTCATGTCTTGCAAAAGGCAATTTTTGAAATTTTATCACTATGAGAAGCTCTGACATTTATGAGTTTTAAGATTTAAATCATAGGGTTGGGGGTCCGGTCCTGTCCGAAAGGTCGAATCGGGCATCGAATTTTTGCCCGAAAAGGACTCGGTTGGGCCAGCCCGATAAAATTGAAGCCCGAAAAAATGACACGAACGTCGGCCCGACTTGAAAACCCCAACCCTAATTTCAAACATTTTTTCAGCTTTCTTTTGACATTCTTGTCTCAATCTACAGATTTTTTGGTTTTCTGACAGGCAAGAGAATTTAAAAAAAATTTTCAAAAATTTTAAAATTTTCAGATTTAATAGAAAGGACAGAAAGGATTTACTATAAAGAAATCCCAGTGCCTAGTCTCGTAGATTTTTTATATAAAATTAGTAGACATATTGTTCCCTTTGTAAAATATTGATATTTTCTTTAAATAAAATTTTATTTTATTTCAAAAAAAAATAAATTTTATAAAACAAAAATATTCTAATCGAAAGTCAACGAAATACAAAAATTTTCAAAATTTTTATTCTTTCAATTTTCGGATTTTAATGTAAGAAGTAGCTCCCCTATCCAATTCTTCCTTATAAAATGCAAATTTTATTTTTGGATTGTAAATATTGGAAATTTGGAAAGTTGTGTATTTAACATAATCTGATTGCTTTATTTCAATTTTTTCTGCTCTCTCATTTAATTCAAAATTTCTGAAGAAAATTCGATCAAAAATAATAATAGGCACAATTTTTGAGCAGTCTTTAGATGTTGTTATATACTAAAAAATTTAAATTTATTTTTAACTCTTATTTAGACAATTTGGTACTCCTCACTTATAGGAGGTTTTTAATGCGTGGATGGATATATGGACGTGTGAAGCCCATAGGGTTGCGTTGTTTGTTTCTTGTATCATAGCCTCGTCCAAACCTGTCCAATTACGGTGATTTTGATGGCATTAGATTCAGATTGTCGAGCTGAGTCGATTGACACCTCATGTTCATATCCGTCCACGCATTAAAAACCTATAAGTGAAAATTTTTGGTAACTTACTTCGATAAAAAGATTATAAAGCTTTGTTAACTTTGAATTACTAAAATTAATTTTTGGTAACTTATTGGCATTGTTTATTAAAGTATTAAATAAAATATTTGTATGAGTTTCTGAAATGTCAAAAAATTTAAAATTGATGTTAAGAAATTGGGAAATTGATAAATAATTTAAACAAAATTTGAAAGAATTTTCAAATATTTTATTGTTAGGAGATATACAGTCGTGGAAAAAAGTATGGAAGCGCTAGAAAATTTTCTCTTAATTTTTAATTTTTCATTCAAAAAATACGTTCTATATACCAATCGAAAGCTCTATTCGTATCTCAGTTGACATATTTCTGCATTTTTCATGAAAATGAAAATTGGCCGAGATAATCCGGATCTACCGGATATACCAAATCCCACTTTTTCGGAAAAATTTTTCGGAACAAATTTAACAAACCCAAATGATAAAGTATATTTTTCTGAGTATTTTCCACAAAACCGCTTAGAAATATCTTTTTTCGGAGCAGAGATATGATTTTTTGAAAATCGCATTTTTCGTCAATTTTTGCAAAATTTTCAATTTTTAAGGGAAAAATGCGATTTTCAAAAAATCATATCTCTGCTCCGGAAAAAGATATTTCTAAGCGGCTTTGTGGTAAATGCTCACAAAAATATACTTTATCATTTGGGTTTGTTAAATTTGTTCCGAAAAATTTTTCCGAAAAAGTGGGATTTGGTATATCCGGTAGATCCGGATTATCTCGGCCAATTTTCATTTTCATGAAAAATGCAGAAACATGTCAACTGAGATACGAATAGAGCTTTCGATTGATATATAGAACGTATTTTTTGAATGAAAAATTAAGAATTAAGAAAAAATTTTCTAGCGCTTCCATACTTTTTTCCACGACTGTAGTTGCTTCTTGAATGTGAAATTTAAGAGTTTTGTTGTTGTTATCAAATAAAATATTAAACATTTCTGGATTAAATACACATTCATCAAAATAAGCACAATCAAAAGCATAATTAAAAAGTTCTTCTAAGCAGCAACGAATAATAATCATTTCTTTAATATTTTTTGGAATATTTGGCAATTTTAAAATATAAATGTCTAAATAGAAAAAATATAATTGAAAGTATGTAGTGACCAGTGCTGGGTATTGGGCACTACTCCATGTCCGGTGCTGCTCTATTTCATCGGAGAAGTTGGATGGATTGAGGGATGTTGGGCGAATTCGAAAGATATCGAGGGATTAAGGGAATTTGGGTGAGTTACCTTTTGCGAAAAATTTTTGGAAGGCCAAGAGATTAGATAGAATTAATCTTTAAAAAATATGCCCAAATTTAAAAAGAAATTTATTCTAATGATTTATTTTTTAAGTGAAAAGGCAATTTCTTATTCTTATGATAGAGGACTTAATAGAGAATTTCACTGCCATAAGTTATACTATCAGGAAAAAATGAACCTTTAATCATACAAGCAAGGTTTCTATTAGTTCCAAAATTATTCAAAAACAAGGGAATTGATTTATCTATTGCTGTCTGCCACTGAAAAAATAATTGAATTAATTAAAAATTGCCCTGGCACTATCTGAAAGGAGTGCCGTTTTATTTTAGCGAAAAAATGAAAGTATTATAAATCGTTCGGTCGTGTTTATTCCTATGTCGTGAGTCATAAGTTTCTGCAGTTAGAACTGTGTATAACAACGTTGGGTGTGTGTATAACTATCCATATTTGGAATATATGTAGTATACTTTATTCCCAGAAAATCTTTTATGCGAATGAACCCATGACTCACGGCATAGGAACAATTTAAGGAAGTAAAGGAAAGGGGGATCCCGTCCCCTCTTTCATATAGTCAATTAATCTAACCTTCTTCTTAAGTTGATTATTTAAAGTAAATTTTAAAATACAAGGTCCAGGTTGAATGAATTTATATGAATATGACTTTTCAAGACGTTCAAGGTCAATCTAAAATTAATTTAAATAAAAGTTCTTCCAAAGTATTTACTATTGAGATTCTATTTAATTTCATTCGTGCCAATTCCCCCTCATAATTATTAATTAAATTGGAAAAGTACAAATTGGTTTGTTTAACAGAGAATAATTGGTTGAAATTAAGGCATTTTAATACATCAATTTGAACTTCAGGAGGTAAAGAAAACATTTTAATTTTAAAGAAGAATATGTAGAAAAAAAAAACCAAAATTCACTTAAAATTTATTATTAAAAATCAGAAAAATTGCAGTTTTATGTGGAAAATGAGAAGAAACGAGACAATAGTAATAACCTGTCAGGGCAAAAATAGGTAGGACAAAACTTGTCCAAATGGTTTGGCACGAGTGATGTTGTTTGTTTGTTACAAAAGGGAAAATTATTTCATCTACGGGAAGTTTGTTCCAACGACGGAAAATGTTATTCCAACATTTCAAGTTGGCCATATCGTCTCCTTTGAATAACCTTCCCTGTTGTAAGACACCAAACAATTTGGACCGAGTTTTGCCACTCTAACGTATATAGACAAAAATTTGACTGAATCT